CCCTTGTGTGTGCTTGCGTGTTTGGTCGTGAGTGTGCCTGCTGGGGGAGCAGAGACGCTTTCTCCTAATCATCTCTCTCCTAGGCACACGGAAGAGCGAGCGTGGTGGGATGACGCACGGCCGGCAGTCACAGGCGTGTGGCTGCGTCCTACCCGCCGTGCTGAGCACGCGCTCGGAGGCAAGGCGCGACGAGGAGGCGGCGAGAGAGCAGCGCCCGCTGCGACGAGGCGTCTTCCTCCCACGTGTGCTGCCTTCTCCCCCTGCGCCCATGGGGTGACGCGGTGGAACGACACGGAGCGACTGACGGGCTGGCTGAGGCGATGCTTGGATTGAAGGGGATGCTGTCGTATGGGGATGGGGATGAGGCCAAGGGCGGGTGCAAGGGTGAGGGCGATGCACGAGGGCATTGATTTACTTTTATCACTATGCCCCGCACCAGCTCCACTCTATATAGGTTTGGACTTTGACAGGAGAAGCGTGGTCTCACCTGGAAATTCATCATCGCTTCTATATACCATGCGAGCCCTCCCATAATTTATCATCACCAACAGGGTAAGGGCTCACCTAGCAAGGGATCCCGAGGTGAGCCCTTGCTCTGTTGGTGATGGTAATGTCTAGGTGGGCTCGCATGGTATATATATGTGATGATGAATCCCCAGGTGGGACCACGCTTTTAAACTCAAAGTCCAAACTTTTACAGTGTGGAACTGGTGTGGGACATAGTGATCGAGTACATCACTGCCCTCGTGTGTTGCCCTCACCCTTACACCCGCCCTTGGCCTCTGCTCCTCGTCTTTTCCTTCAGCACCTTCACCGCCTCTTCCATGCCTTGACGTCCTCCTCGCACTCCGTCCTCACTCCTCCCCCTTCTATTCCCCTCAGTTTGGGCGTTCACGCGAGAGATACGCGAGGATGGCGAGGGGGCAGCGCGGCGGGGCAGCAGAGGAGGCTTTCTCTACGTAACCCCCCCTTCCTTCCCTTCAGCATGCAGTTGAAGGGGCAGCGCGGCGGGGCAGCAGAGGAGGCTTTCTCTACGTAACCCCCCCTTCCTTCCCTTCAGCATGCGGTTGAAGGGGCAGCGCGGCGGGGCAGCAGAGGAGGCTTTCTCTACGTAACCCCCCCTTCCTTCCCTTCAGCATGCGGTTGAAGGGGCAGCGCGGCGGGGCAGCAGAGGTGGCTTTCTCTACATAACCCCCCCTTCCTTCCCTTCAGCATGCGGTTGAAGGGGCAGCGCGGCGGGGCAGCAGAGGAGGCTTTCTCTACATAACCCCCCCTTCCTTCCCTTCAGCATGCGGTTGAAGGGGCAGCGCGGCGGGGCAGCAGAGGAGGCTTTCTCTACATAACCCCCCCTTCCTTCCCTTCAGCATGCGGTTGAAGGTGCAGCGCGGCGGGGCAGCAGAGGAGGCTTTCTCTACATAACCCCCCCTTCCTTCCCTTCAGCATGCGGTTGAAGGTGCAGCGCGGCGGAGCAGCAGAGGAGGCTTTCTCTACATAACCCCCCTTCCTTCCCGTCAGCATGCGGTTGAAGGGGCAGCGCGGCGGGGCAGCAGAGGAGGCTTTCTCTACATAACCCCCCCTTCCTTCCCTTCAGCATGCGGTTGAAGGGGCAGCGCGGACGGAGGTACGATGTCTTTCTCCATGCTTTTCACTTGCTCCTGATTTCGTATTTGCTCCTGCTTCTTTCGCATTGCATGTGCTGTGTTCGTCTTGCATGTGTTGTGTTGGTCGTTCCCCCCCCCCCTCCCCTCCCCTCCCCTCCCCTCCCCTCCCCACTCCCCTTCCCTGCAGCGTCAGTGGAAGTGGGGCGGCAGGCCGGGCGACACGGACGGAGGTACGGCGTCTTGCTCCCTGCTTTTCACTTGCTCCTGTTTTCGTATTTGCTCCTGCTTTTTTTCGCATTGCACGTGTTATGTTCGTCTTGTATGTGTTGTGTTGGTCGTCCCCCCCCCCCCCCCCCTCCCCTCCCCTCCCCTCCCCTCCCCTCCCCCCCCTTCCCCTCCCCCGTTCATGTGTAGACAACAGTCGGCCGCCAGGGTGGGCGGGGCGGCACGTACGACGCGGCACTTATAGAGGTGAGTTTCTGTTTCAATGTTCTACACTATGTTCTTCCGTTTTACATTCCCTGCATCGTTATCCGTTCATTGCTGTTCAGTTTTGATGCGATTCTGAAACTCATGTTGTGTGTTTGATGGTTTCTGCCTTGTGTTGTGCTGGCAGGTGGGCGTCCAAGAACCAAGACAAGGACCAAGGACCAAGACCAAGACAAGACCAAGACCAAGACGTCCAAGGACCAAGACGACCAAGGACCAAGACCAAGACAATACCAAGAGCAAGACGTCCAAGGACCAAGGCACTGGTGCGCTTACCAAGCCATCCAAGGACCAAGGCCCAAGACGTCCAAGGACCAAGGCCCAAGACGTCCAAGGACCAAGGCCCAAGACGTCCAAGGACCAAGGCCCAAGACGTCCAAGGACCAAGGCCCAAGACGTCCAAGGACCAAGGCCCAAGACGTCCAAGGACCAAGGCCCAAGCCGTCCAAGGACCAAGGCCCAAGACGTCCAAGGACCAAGGCCCAAGCCGTCCAAGGACCAAGGCCCAAGACGTCCAAGGACCAAGGCCCAAGACGTCCAAGGACCAAGGCCCAAGACGTCCAAGGACCAAGGCCCAAGACGTCCAAGGACCAAGGCCCAAGACGTCCAAGGACCAAGGCCCAAGACGTCCAAGGACCAAGGCCCAAGACGTCCAAGGACCAAGGCCCAAGACGTCCAAGGACCAAGGCCCAAGACGTCCAAGGACCAAGGCCCAAGCCGTCCAAGGACCAAGGCCCAAGACGTCCAAGGACCAAGGCCCAAGACGTCCAAGGACCAAGGCCCAAGACGTCCAAGGACCAAGGCCCAAGACGTCCAAGGACCAAGGCCCAAGACGTCCAAGGACCAAGGCCCAAGACGTCCAAGGACCAAGGCCCAAGACGTCCAAGGACCAAGGCCCAAGACGTCCAAGGACCAAGGCCCAAGACGTCCAAGGACCAAGGCCCAAGACGTCCAAGGACCAAGGCCCAAGCCGTCCAAGGACCAAGGCCCAAGACGTCCAAGGACCAAGGCCCAAGACGTCCAAGGACCAAGGCCCAAGACGTCCAAGGACCAAGGCCCAAGACGTCCAAGGACCAAGGCCCAAGCCGTCCAAGGACCAAGGCCCAAGACGTCCAAGGACCAAGGCCCAAGCCGTCCAAGGACCAAGGCCCAAGCCGTCCAAGGACCAAGGCCCAAGACGTCCCAGGACCAAGGCCCAAGACGTCCAAGGACCAAGGCCCAAGACGTCCAAGGACCAAGGCCCAAGACGTCCAAGGACCAAGGCCCAAGACGTCCAAGGACCAAGGCCCAAGACGTCCAAGGACCAAGGCCCAAGACGTCCAAGGACCAAGGCCCAAGACGTCCAAGGACCAAGGCCCAAGCCGTCCAAGGACCAAGGCCCAAGACGTCCAAGGACCAAGGCCCAAGACGTCCAAGGACCAAGGCCCAAGACGTCCAAGGACCAAGGCCCAAGACGTCCAAGGACCAAGGCCCAAGCCGTCCAAGGACCAAGGCCCAAGACGTCCAAGGACCAAGGCCCAAGCCGTCCAAGGACCAAGGCCCAAGCCGTCCAAGGACCAAGGCCCAAGCCGTCCAAGGACCAAGGCCCAAGCCGTCCAAGGACCAAGGCCCAAGCCGTCCAAGGACCAAGGCCCAAGACGTCCAAGGACCAAGGCCCAAGCCGTCCAAGGACCAAGGCCCAAGACGTCCAAGGACCAAGGCCCAAGCCGTCCAAGGACCAAGGCCCAAGCCGTCCAAGGACCAAGGCCCAAGACGTCCAAGGACCAAGGCCCAAGCCGTCCAAGGACCAAGGCCCAAGACGTCCAAGGACCAAGGCCCAAGCCGTCCAAGGACCAAGGCCCAAGCCGTCCAAGGACCAAGGCCCAAGCCGTCCAAGGACCAAGGCCCAAGACGTCCAAGGACCAAGGCCCAAGACGTCCAAGGACCAAGGCCCAAGACGTCCAAGGACCAAGGCCCAAGATGGCAGGCGCTAGGGGGGACGCCTCCTGGCGCCTGCAGCTGTCCAAGATGGCAGGCGCTAGGGGGGACGCCTCCTGGCGCCTGCGAACGTCTGTTTTTTTCTAACTAACCCCCCGTTGTTCCCATGCAGGTCCCCACACGAAGGGTCCCCACCTCATTGTGGTGTGTGGGTGTAACACTAGGGGTTAACCCCCCTAGTGGCCAAGAGGGACCCGGAAGACCCAAGACCATGGCGCTCTCTATGATTTTGATATATATAGTTGCCTAATTAGTTTTACATCTGGTTAGATTATCAATCAGATAACTATATCTCAGCACGGACCTTTGAAAATAGGTAGTTCGACATGCACCAGGGAAGCATATGGTGCAATGTAGCTGCTAAACATAATGGTTTACATAACAGTAAAAGGATCTTTAGCATTCAGAAGATTATTTAATGCAAACCAACAGTGGCAGCATGCAACAGAGGCAAATTCCCTCTAACATGGCAACATTTCTTTCCAAACATTGCACATGCCACTTGTGTTGCCACTTCTGGCAATGCTGTGTGCTGTAGAGGCATCACCAACAGGGAGTCCCTGCATACGGTAACAGCATGCCCAAGTATGTAGTATTGCTTTCCATTGTGCTGTGCTGTGCCATATGCTGAGATGTTAAGGAATTGCTGTGCTGTCGACTGTTCTGCTTGCTGTTCTGTGCTGTGTTGTGCGTTGTGATGTGTGCTGTGTTGTGCGTGTTGAGTGCTGTGCTGTGCCGAAGCTGTGAAGTCTTAGAGTCAGGGGCGAGGCGGGTTAGCCAGTTGCTGAGCGTGCTCTTCGCATTGAGCGTGTCTGACCACAGCTGCCAGCTGGTACCGGTACATGGAGCACAGGTTGAGCACCACTGTCTCATCCACACCCCTCCTCCACTGCTGCCAGCCAACTGCACACCTCCCTTACTCACTCCCCTCCGCTACAGCCGAGTGCAGGCAAAGTCAAAGTCATCTGGAGCCAACCGCGTGAGCCAGTTGCTGAGCGTGCTCTTGGCGTTGAGCGTATCAGACGCCGCCAGCTCGTACATGGAGCACAGGTTGAGCACCACTGTCTCGTCGACAGCTGTCAGCGGGCTCGCCTGCAATTGGTCCTCCAGCACCCGCACCGCTGTCGCGAGATCTCGGCCGTACATCAGGCAGAGGGCCTGATCGGGAACAAAAGGCAAGGGGATGAAATGGAAGGTGGAACCATGTGAAGGGAAACTCTATGACGATACCACATTAATGTAACTTGGTTACAACACCAAGTGTAACCTGTGAGATGCCTTCTGCGCTGCCTGACTCACCTGGCTATCCCACCATGTAACCTGGTTACTGCATTGCCTCACATCGCCTCACCTTGTTATTCGCAGCAATGGAGTTGGTAGGGTCCTCCTTGGTGACTGCTGTGAACAGCTGCAGCGCCTGCCCATGCTCCTTGCGAGCAAAGTGCACCAGAGCCTTGTTCAGCCGCACCAGCCTCTTCATCTCAGCCAGATTTGCTGCTGTCACCCGCCCTGCCCCCACACCCCCATCGCTCCCTCCTCCTGCTCCTGCTCCTGCTGTGTTACTCGCACCTCCTGTTGCCTCCCCTCCTCCCTCCCCCTCCCCCGCCCCCTCCCCTCCTCCTCCCCCACTCCCTCCCTCACTCTCCATCTCCACCTCGCGATGCACCACCATCTTCTCCACCAATCCGAACGCGGCGCTCGCGCCCTCCACGTCCCCCAGCTGCAGCCGAACGAGGCCGTACCGCGAGAGCAGGGGGGCGTTGCTCGGCTCGTAGCGCAGCAGGCGCTGCAGCCAGAGGAGTGCAGTGGGGTAGTCGCGCTGCACCAGGTGGTGGGATACTAGCGCGTGCCGCACGGCCTGCCTCCTGCGCGCCCAACACGCCACCAACGCAGCCTGCTGCGATGCTGCTGAAGATGCTGCTGCTGGTGATGTGCTCTTAGTGCTGCTGCTGCTGCTGCTGCTGGGTAAGGTTGAGCTAGTGGGCAGGTCAGTGGGCCCAGCATGAGAAGAGAAACCCTCCCCATCCTCTGCCACCATTACATCTGCCATCCCTTCTCTCATCACTGCGCTTGTGCTCTTGCTCATGCTGCTGCTGCTGCTGCTGCTGCTGTTGCTGCTATCTGCAGGAGCTGCTCTCCCCTGTTTGCCCTTCCTGCTGCTATCTGCTATCTGCTCTCCCTTGCTGTCTCCTGCCATTTTCGACTGCACTTCCTTCATCTGTCATTCATGCAGCAAGGCACAGACGAATTGGGTCAACCAGTGAAGCATTCTAGAAATACATGCAGAATGCAGAATACGATAAGCTAAGAGTCAGCCCACCGCTCTGCACCCACCTTGGCTGTGCAGTATGTCTGCAGAGCACGCAGTCGCTCCAATGTGAGAGCCGGGTTGCCCATGATGTGGGGCAGCTCCTGAGAGACACACACCAACCTGACTCCACCGCACTGCACCCACCTTAGCTGTGCAGTACGCCTGCAGAGCACATAAACGCTCCAATGTGAGGGCCGGATTGCCCATGCGGTGGGGCAGCTCTTGAGAGACACACACAAACCTGACTCTACCGCACTGCACCCACCTTAGCTGTGCAGTACGCCTGCAGAGCACATAAACGCTCCAATGTGAGGGCCGGATTGCCCATGCGGTGGGGCAGCTCTGCTGCCAGCCAGCGCAGTGCAAAGGGTAGCATGGAACCTGTAGGGCGTGGGCGAGGGGAGGGGAGGAAAGGCAGTGCAGGGAGGGATGGAAGAGAGGATGGAGCAGCTCCGCTGCCAGCCAGCGCAGTGCGAAGGGCAGCATGGAGCCTGCAGGAGGGAGGGGTGAGTAAGAGGCAAGAGGGAAGGATGGGAGAGGGAAGAGGATGGGGCGCAGCTATCTGCATTGCCCATGCGGTGAGGCAGCTCTGCTGCCAGCCAGCGCAGGGCGAAGGGGGGCATGGAGCCTGCAGTGGAAACGTGGGGAGGCAATGCGGGGAGGGATGGGAGTGGGGAGAGAATGGGGCGAAGACATGGCATTTCCCGGTGTGCCTCGTAATGGTACTGCGGCGAGTCGAGGTTGCCCAGCAGCATGAGCTACTCTGCGCCTTGCAGCAAGCCCACCACATAGGATACCGCCCACCACCCACCACCTAGGGTACTGCTCACCCACCTTTCCTCCCAGGGTACATGCCGGAGTGCGCAGCTTCATCAGCGCCAGCAGCACATGGACATGGTAACCATGTAACATCCGGGTGCTCACCTTTCCTCCCAGGGTACATGCCGGGATGTGCCTCGTAGCGGTACTGTGGCGAGTCGAGGTTCCCAAGGAGAGCGAGCTCCTCTGCTGCTGCCCCATACATGCGCAGCTTCATCAGCGCCAGCACGTGGTAACCGCGTAACGCCAGCTGCTGCGCCAACCCCGCCAGCTTGTATCCCTCCACCACCTTGTCCACTATGGCCCTCCACGACCCTTGCCTCTGCAGCATGAAAAGTACAGGGAGCACATGACACGTGTGATGCGGCAAGAGGAGAGTCAGTATGAGGCAGCCCCGCCACCACCTTGTCCACTATGGCCCTCCACGACCCTTGCCTCTGGTTGGTGAAACAACAATGCATAAAAACAAGATTACATATGCGATGCCGCGAGAGGAGAGTCGAGTGGGCATGCCATGGAAAAAGGCAAGGCACAGGAGCAAGTGGAGAGTGGGGGGTGTCATGCCATGTAACGCAGCATGAGATCCATCAGTAGGGATCAAACACAACGGAGCTTGTGCCGAAGGCCTTACAAATCGCAGCGAGCAGCACAGGTTACAGCTTGTTATAAATACACCTTCTACTATAGAGCCCAGCTTAGAGCGAGTTCAGCGTACAGCGAGTACAGCAAGGCCGTCCAGGGAGGTCTTGACGTCAAGGCTGGACATGCGGCGAAAGCTGACTGGCGGGGATGAGCGCGCAGCAAACGCACTGCTGCTAGTGGCGCCGGTGCTGCCACTGGTGCTGCTAGTTGTGCTGATGTTAGCAGCTCCAATGGCGGTGGTGGTGCTGCTGCTGCTAGTAGTAGTGGTGCTGGTGGTGGTGGCAGCAGCAGGAGCGCCTGAACCAGACATTAACGCCCCTCCCGCGGAACTCACCCCTCCCCTTCCCCCCGCTGCTGCCCCCCCCGCTGCTCCCCCAGTTGCCCCGCCTGCGGGCTTGGCGGTGCCAGGGGGGCCCTGGGGGGGAGGTCTGTACCCGGGCGGGGGGTGGGTGGGGCGGGATAGTGGCGCGTGTGACTGTGGCGCGTGTGACTGTGGCGGGTGTGATGGTGGCGGGTGTGACAGTGGCGGGTGGGATAGGGGGTGGGGAAGCGATGGGGGAGGGTGAGAGGGAGGAGGGTGGGAGGGCAACGATCGTGACGGGGGGGAGTGAGGAGGAGGGGGTAGAAACGGCGGGTGTGATTGTAGCGGGTGTGGGTGTGACTGTGGGTGAGAGACAAGAGGGGCGGAGAGAGGGCCGCGGGCGGAGAGCGAGGTGTGCGGCGCAGACCCAGGCGCTGGCGCTGGCGCTGGTCCGCGGAAGGGCGGATGGGCGGCACCAGCGGGAGGCGGAGGGGTGGGGGATTTCCGCTGGTGCGTGTCGAGCGCGTGGGGCGCGGAGGGGCGGAGCGGGGACGAGTGCGAGTAAGACATCATGTGGGCGGAAAACCCGCTCGGATGATGCGCGCCCTGTCGCTGGGTCGAATCATGCTTATAATGAGGATCAGACGCAAGGTGCGGATCAGCTTTCGTGGGAGATCTGGGTCCGTGCGAACCGCCTGCAGTCATTGGCGACGAGTGGTAACCAGCGCTGGCGACAGTTTGAGCGCTAGTAGGCCCGCTCTGAGGCCCAGGCAACCCGGAATGATCGAACCCTAATCCGCTTCCCGCGGACGCCGCCACTGGTGCCGCCACTGCTGCCGCTAGCGGGGCAGCTGCAGCCGCCGCTGCCGCCAGCGCAACTCCCCCGCCGTCAACGGTGGATGCGGGAGGCGGAGAAAGCGGAGTCTCCGCCCCCTGCGCCAGTTGCCCCGTATGGTTATTCCCGCTTCCCCCATCTGTCGCCTGCGCTTCCCCGCTTCCCCCCAGCGCCTGCACCTCCCCCCAGAAGTCCATTCCCGCATCCGCGCCCCCCCCGTTCTCCCCCTCCCCCCAAAACGAGTCGCTACTTTTCGCGGCAGATTTTCCGCTCGCCGCCAAATCCGCGTCCGACGAATGCGTAGCCTCCACGGCGCTCGCCGTGAGCTCTTCGGCCCCCTCCGCCTGCGCCGGTGCCGCCGCAGATAATGGCGCGTTCTGCGCTGAGAGGAAGCCGCTGGTTCCTGATTGGAAGTCCCCCCAGTCGCCCTCCATCTCCGGGGAGGTTGGAACGAATCGATCGATGCTCAAGAGAGAATAGAATTGAAGGAACCGATGTTCAAGGGATTACACAGCAATGTATTCAAACAATCTCTTGAACATAGATACAGCGAGAATGAACGGCGGAGGATATATAGCGAATTGCGCAGGAAAATCAACTTTATGCTGAACAGCGACTACTTGTGTGTGTGTAACTACGTCGGTGACGCAGGACGTACGGACCAATCTGGAGCGCGAGATTGGTAAGAGGATTTTATGGGGGAGCGGATGTGAACTCTGGCTCGAGACTCTCGCGTGTCAGTTCAGTGGGCTGCGAATTGCGCAGTTACCGCATTAGCTTTCTGAACCCGATTGGTTCACGATTTGTTATCTTCGCAAGCGCTGCCGATCACGAAACCAACCGCTGACACACTCGGCAAGCCCGATTTGTTCGATTACAGGGAAAGGAGACACTGATGGTTACACAGCGACACTTGTGCGAAAACGTCTCATCGCCTCTCGCAAGAGTGTCACAGACAACAAGCTAACACAATTTGGCGGGAACTATGTCAAGCTGAGAGAAACCCAAGACAAGGCAATCCGAATTATCGAACCCGAATCCGCGCAACCAATCGCGTTACAGAATGGCTTCCGCCATCGCGTCCGCGGCTGCTGCAGCGGGCCCTTGCGCTGGTTTGAAGCGCGCGCAGATGCGCGTCAATTCAGGCAGCAGCGGGAACTTAAGACGCAGCAGCAGCGTCAGCGCGCGTTTGCGGACGTGTCAAAGTAGCATTAGCGAGACTGCGCAGCGACACTCAGAGCGGCGATGCGTGGTAGTGGCGGCAGCGGCGGATTCGACGGGCGTGGATTGGGATGATCAGGGGCCGTCCGATGTGAATCCGACGGACCTGACTGATAGCGAGGATGAGAGGGGGAGGGAGACGGGATGGAGGGGAGGGAGGAGCGAGGAGGAGCGAGCGCAGAGCGACAGCCGACAGAAGATCTTTAATAACATCGCTCCCATGTATGACGACGTGAGTAGTGCGAGGCTTGTGAGGAATGTGCGGACACTGAGTGGCGTATGCCGCGAGTTAAGCACTGCAGAGCGACAGCCGACAGAATATATTCAACAACATCGCTCCCATGTATGACGACGTGAGTAGTGCGAGTAGCGTGAGTAATCGTCGTCGTGTGAGTCGTGCGAATACGCTCGTGGTGTGAGTAACTCGCGGCTCGTTAGGAATGTGCGTACACTGACTGGCGTATGCCATGAGTCGAGCACTTCAGAGCGACAGCCGACAGAAGCTCGTCAATTACATCTCTCCTCTTTTCTGACTTCTACCCCTCCCCTCCCTTCCCTATCAACTTGCCCTCCCGGTCTCTCCTGCATGCCACGTGCAGCTCAACGATTGGCTGAGTCTGGGGCAGCACCGCGTGTGGAAGCGAATGACAGTCGGATGGAGCAGGTGGGTGGCTGGGGAAGAGGGGGCTAGCGGAAGGGAGGGTTAGGGGAAAGGCATGGGGGGGGGAATGGGGTGAAAGGGGAAACAGAGAATGCCGGATGAGCTGTCGTACGCACCCAGATGTATTCTAGTCAGTTTGAGGAATTTTCAAAAGCGACTCAATAACTTTGGAGATTTCTCGGAAGTGACCTTCCCTCAGAGTGCGTCCAGGGCAGTAGCGTGCAAGTGGCCTTCCCTCCTTCTCCCCCTTCCTGTTGCTCCGATTCTTAGTTCATTGTCACCCGTCCGTCTCTTCGCCCTTTCCTGCCTCTCTTCCCTCTCTTTCTCCATCAGAGCTCGCCCAGGTGACAGCGCTTTGGATATCTGCTGTGGCAGCGGGGGTCTCTCCTTGCTGCTGGCTAACCATCCCTATCCTCTTCCCCTCCCAACCATCTCACCATCTCTCCCCCTGCCTTCAGAGCACGCCCAGGCGACAGCGCCCTTGATATCTGCTGTGGCAGCGGCGATCTCTCCTTGCTGCTGGCGGAGAAGGTGGGCCCCTCGGGGCGCGTGGTGGGGCTCGACTTTGCCGCCCAGCAGCTCGTTGTCGCCTCCCAGAAACAGCACGACAGCTACTCCGCTCGCCGAGTGGACATGAGGTAGGGAAGGGGGGCGGGCAGGGGAGAGGAGGGAGGGACTTGTTGGTATTCACCTGCTTGCCATTCCCTGCTGTCACTTGCGTGTACCCATTTATGGTCATTGATACAAGCACCAGTTGAGAGGGAGAGGGAGGGAGGTGCGTGTTTTTTGCAAAGCTGAGATGCATTACAAGCTGAGGAACGTCACCAGCAGCAACACATTGCTTCTCCATTCCGTTCCCCTCATCTCATCCCCACACTCTATCCCACGCCAGGTGGGTGGAGGGCAACGCCCTGGCCCTGCCATTTGATGCAGCTACCTTGGACGCCGTACGCCGTACGGGGTAGGGGCTGAGGAGTGTCTCCAGCACCAACCACCCACTTCATCCACCCCTCACCCATCTCACTTCCCCCGCTTCCCTCCAGGTGGGTGGAGGGCGACGCCTTAGCCCTGCCGTTCGACGCAGCCTCATTCGATGCCGTCACCATGGGGTACGGGCTGAGGAACGTCACCAGCATTCCACGCGCCCTGCAGGAGATTCATCGCGTGCTCAAGGCTGGTGAGAGCCAGGGGTGAGGGAAGGGATTGGGAGAGGGATGGATGGCTGGGTGGACTGCTGAGTGTTTGGGTGGAAGGCTGAGCGGAGTGCTGTCCTGGTGGACTCGTGAGTTGCGAAGCAGGAGATTAACTCGTAGTTCGAGGCTATTGAGGGGTGGGAGGAAGAGAAACGGGTGGAGGGGTGGCTTGCTCAAAGGGCAGTCCTGTTGAGCAACAGTGCCTCACGTGCTTGCCATCTCTCTCTGTTTCCTTGTCCCTCTCTGCGTTTCGTCCCACCTGCAGGTAGCTCTGCAGCCATTCTCGACTTCAACCACACAGAGGACCCTCTTGTGGCCGCATTCCAGGTCAGCATTATCCCGTTCCAGGTCAGCAGGGGTGCAATCAAAGGCAGCAGCAGAGCGTTGTTGAGGCATCACTAGCAGTCATGTGAATCACATTTCCCGTTAGTTGCCTTGTAACCATCTGAATGCACCATCTGGTTTGATCCCCTTCTTAGCTCCCCCAGTCCTACCTCTTCTCCTCTGCATTCACCGCCCTGCACAGCACACTGTGATGGTCCGACTCATCTCAAACCCCCAACCCCCCTTTCTCCATTGCCATTCTCCCTTCCCCTTCTCCCTTTCAGGAGTTTGCTCTGCAGAACGCAGTGGTGCCTTTAGCACTCTCAGACAGAAGCTGTCACACACCGTACCCCCCTCCCCCTTCCTTCCCACCCAATGTGCAGGAGTTTGCGCTGCAGAACGCAGTGGTGCCAGTGGCGCGCATGTTTGGGCTGTCAGAGGAGTACGAGTACCTGCTGCCCTCCATCCGCCGCTTCCCCACAGGTGACACCTCCCCCAGGTGGTGTGTCACCCACAGGTAGTGCCTGCCCCACTGATGGTGCCTGACTCACAGGTGATACCTTCCCCAGGTGCTGCTGTCTGTTTGGGCTGTCAGAGGAGTACGAGTACCTGCTGCCCTCCATCCGCCGCTTTCCCACAGGTAATACCTCCCCCAGATAATGCCTGCTCCACAGGCAACACCTTTATCACAGTTAGTGCCTCCCCAAGGTGCGGCTGTCTTTGGGCTGTCAGAGGGTTGCGAGTACTTGCCCCCATAAGTGGTGCCTGCCCCCACAGGTGACACCTCCTGACCCCACAGATGACACATCCTGTCCCCACAAATGACACCTCCTCACTCCACAGATGACACCTCCTGCCCCCACAGGTGATGCCTTCCCACGGTAATGCACGTGCTGTCCTCATTTTCCCGCTATTCACTCCTCTGTGTGTGTGTGTGTGTGTGTGTGTGTGTGTGTGTGTGTGTGTGTGTGTGTGTGTGTGTGTGTGTGTGTGTGTGTGTGTGTGTCACAGGGCGGCAGCAGGAGCAACTGGCAAAGGATGCTGGATTCTCCAAGGCAGTGCATTACGAGATTGGTGGAGGTCTCATGGGTGTGCTTGTGCTGCAGAAATGATCGCCAATCAAATGCAACATCCTTTCTTCCTGAGCACAGTGTTGGCAAATGGTCTTGTTTGATGTTGAGAAAGTAAACATCAATAATAAATACTCTTACATGAATCTAAAAATGGAACACGGTGTGTCAGCTGGTGCCCGTCCCTTTATTGTGTCATCACACTGCATGCAGCTAAAACGACACTTCTCATTCCAACTTCACCCCTAGAGAATATCCGCTGCCAATCTCCCGTGGGCGATAGCGCCTCTTATTCGCCATGCGACCACTCCTGCGACTCTGTGCGATCCGCCCCAAGGGCCGTCGCAATCGCAGGGGTAGAAGGTTCACGGCAAGGGATGATGGTCGGATTCCGGGCCGAAGTGGATTGGTTCGGTGACGAGCCGCTTATTGTGTGTGCGATGTGCCGGGTGGGTCACCGTACGTGGGCCCTAAGCAGGGCCGTCCGCGTGGCCTGTCGCCATTCGCCGCGCTTTATTCGTCTTCGAGTCAGAGTGGGGGGCTAAGGCTGCAGCTACTGCTGGAGGATTCGCTGTAAGCCAGAAGCCAGCTGAAGCCCGGCGCTTATTGGTGGACTCAGAAGACTGGGGAGGAGGGGGAAGCCGCAGAGAGCATGCTCCTCTCGTCCCCAGCGCTGCTATCGGACACGTGGCGCGCTGGTGTCCTCCAATGATTGGAGGATGCTGCTGGATTGCGATAAATCGAGCCGCTTATTGATAGCGCCAAAGTTTATTACCGTTCCGGTTGTTGGAAGGATTTTTGCCGCATCTTGCGGGGGGCAGTAACTGGTTATGCGGGGCCGTCCGCGTGGCCTGTCGTCAATCGGCGCGCTTTATTCGTCTTCGAGTCAGAGTGGGGGCTGAAGCTGCAGCTACAGCGCATCCTCGATGCACGAAGATTTGCTGTGAGCCAGAAGCCAGCTGAAGCCCGGCGCTTATTGGTGGACTCAGAAGACTGGGACGAGGGAGGGAGCAGCAGAGCGCGTCCTCTCGTCCCTAGCGCTATCGGACAGGTGGCGCGCTGGTATTGGAAGATGCTGATGGATTGCGAGAATTAAAGCGTCCTCGCTTATTGGTAGCGCCCACTCTTATTTCTCGTCCAGCCGTTGTTGGACGGATTTTTGTCGCTCCTCGCTGAGGGCAGTCACTGGCTGTAGTAGCGCTTATTCCCTCATAGCGACGTGAGTCACGCCGCGTAGTAGTAATTTTCTCAGCGAGAAACCGCATCGTTGCATGCGATCCGCTTCGTCGTGAATCCGCGTGACTCGCGCCGCTTGGATCCGCCGCCTCTACTGTCGTATGTATATCTGTTGCCGCATTCACCGACCGCGCAGAGTGCTGCATACGCTCTGCTGTTGTCGCGTTGAAAGGCGTCATTGTGCTTTTGAAAAATCGGAACTGAAGAATCCGTAATGACGTCTAGGTAACAGCCGCAGCGAGTACGAGCCAGTCGCTTCGTTCCATTGACGAGCCCCGCAAAGGATCCAGCGTTTTATCGAACACGTTGAAGCGAGCAGGGGCGCTCACGCACATGGGCGTTTGAAGAATGTTGAGTCGAGAATGGATTGCTTCTGGAGCTCCAATAAATTGAGCTTGTTACTAGGAGAGAACTACGAGCTATTTATCTCTCGGTGCTAGTGGCGGCATTCATTACTTAGGCTCTGAATCGAGATCGCTGGCACATGTGGGGGCGCCTTGCAGTTGTGTCGGGTTGGGTGTGGAATGAGCTGGATGGTCGCAACGTTGGGACGATCTGAGCCGTCGAAACGTGAGAGTGAGGGAACAGCAGGCTGCAAGGGATGGTTGCAGCGAGGAGGTTTCACATGCGACGCGGCAGGTGTGGGTTGCGCCAGGTGTGTCGTCGACTCGCCCCCACCTTCCACACTGCCTGCTGCCATCCATCAAATGGCTGGTGTGGCTGCTGCTGCCAGGTGGAGGTTGTGCCAAATGCCCATCAAATGGTGGGTCACAAAATTACTAGCAATCAAGTTACCCGTTTCGACACCCTTTAGGGGTCCTAATGTTCGCTCTTCGGATGTGAGCACGGAGCTATCAATCATGTCTCGCAAATGAAGCTTCGCGAATTGAACGAAATTGGAAAACCCCAACTGCGATGCATTTGGCTGCTCTATTGGAGGTTGCGCCTTGGTATACGAAGTCAAAACAGTCCACCCAGATGTGATTCGAATGCTTTTGTAACACATACGCTTCGCAGAACACACAAAGCGGAGACTCTGAAGTTATTTGTGCTTCACGCTCGTTTCTCTCACACTCACACGTGTCGAACCCCGACTCCGCTCCTTTTTGGATCGCGTCGCTCATACCCTGCATTTCACGCACGCGTCGCATTCAATGCGCGGTCAATTCTAATGCGATCCAATCTTCGCAGTGCGTGTTTGCAAATGCGATCTTTTCGGGCAGAACCACGCGGCTGCCCGTATTTAGGTCAGGTTGGGGCTCCCCGTGTTTAGGGTTGGGGCTCCCCTAATCGCATGCCATCCAGATGGGGTTTATTTTTTTCTGACCGCGGGCAAATATCGACCCCTCAGCCTTGGCATTTGCGAACCGCGCTGGCTAAATTGGATTGCAGCTGAAGTTGTCCCTTCAATGCGTGCACGCATCGAAACTCAATTCCAGCAATTTCACATTCCAGGCGCTTTCGACGGCCACGACCCATCAATCTCCCCTTTTCTTGCCCCACCAAACTTTGATCACCTACACCCCAGTTCTGCACAGATCGCCCCTTGCTGACTCTGGTCCAGCAAGCTAGACTAGGGTGCAGGCAGCAGAACTCAACAATAAATAGCGACGCCCAATGCCTTTCCGAAATGGGTGCGGAAACAGCATCTCGACGTGAGTTACTCGTAGCGTTCGTGTCACACGCTTGTTGAAACCTATGGTCGATCTAGCGCATAGCTGCAGAAGCAGCTCTCGGAGCAACGGAGCATCCGCGCAGAAAATCAGCTTCAGCAAGCCCATCGCATACGGCCTCCCCAGCAAAGCCGCAACCGAGAATGCGCACCCGTACGAATTTCTACCCAAACCCTTCCCGACAGACAGAAGAATGTCGACGTCATTAATTCGTTCGGCGCGATGTACGGCGGCCGAGATTCTCTCCATTTCCTCGCAGATCATCCACGCGCTCAGCTCGCTCCTCCTGCTCTTTCGCGCCCTCGTCGCCCTCGCTGCCTGCAGAGTCGCCTTGACGTTTCTCTTGCCGCCTCTCCGCGCCGTACAGAGAATCGTGCGATTCGTGTGCCTCGTCGAGACCTGGCTCTCGGCCATTGTACGCGATATTGAGTTCTACGGTAAGGCTCGCGATCTGGAGCACAGGGAGGAGTTCACGGAGAATGCGGCTTATACATGGAGTTGCGAGGGCGGTGAGCAAGTGGGCTGCGACGAATGGTCGCCTTGGGATCAACTCAGGCTGTCGTCGTCGTCGCTAGGCGATAAAACCTCACCGGGTAGGTTGTGGGACGAGGAGAACATGAGGCGATGGGTTGAGGAGGCGAGGGCTGTTGCGAAGCTCTCCACTGCAGCCGGCGATGAGGGTATAGTAACCAGAAGAGAATCCGGTATTTCCGAAGGTCGGAAAACGACTGTCGCAGCGGGTATGTCTGGCGAACTACACATGCAGGAAATCGACGCTTTGCGAGACGAGCTTCAGCAAGCGCGAGCGACGTGCGACGCTCTACGACAAGAGCTCGAGCAAGAGTGGGTGCTGAGCGACAGTCTGCGACGGGAGCTGGAGCAGGAGCGGGCGGCAGCGGACAGCGCTGCGATGGCGAGCATGGAGTCGATACGACGGTTGCAAGACGACAAAGCTGCCGACCAGTTAGCGGCTCGGCAGAGAGAGAGAATCTTAGTCGAGAAAGCGCGGTACGAGGAGGAGGAGGTAGAGGGCTTAAGGGCCGAGGTGGAGAGGCAAGGGGAGGAGATTCTTCTGCTGCGCGAACAGATGGCCGCTGTCACCGGTTTTCGCTATGTTACAAGTGAGACGGATCATGACTGTGCGGAAACAGAAGGTGACAGAGGTGATTCAGGAGGAAGAGAGGATGACGGTTCGGGTAGAGGGGAGGAAGAGGAGGGGTCGGAGAGAGGAGCGCGCATTCATAACATCGAAGAAGACCAGGAGAGTCACAGGGATGGTGGCGTACGTGGCTTGAGCGGCTGGGGTGGCTTGAACGGCATGGGTGGTTTGGGCGGCGTTATGGAGAGTGATGGAGCTCAGGGGTGGAGAAAAAAAAGAGCGCTTTTGGATTTACATGAGCCGGAAAGTGGCCTGGAGTGGGGGGAGGTTTCCGGGACAGCAGCGCCGACAGCCCGACGAAAGATTGACCCGCTGCCCCTAGCCCAACAGGGGGCGGGGGCATTCTCAGCAGCAGCAGCACCTGAAGCGCTGCTGGCAGCAGCAGTGCTTGAAGCGCCGCTGGCAGCAGCGGGTGACGCTGCTTCCCTGTCATACGCCCTGGGTGGCCTCCTCATGCCGTTCCTCCCTGGCCGCCTCCCTGCTGACGCTGGACTGCTGGCGCCAGTGGCCAATGCACCGCTGCTCGCTGCTGCTACTGGCTGTGGTGAAGGTTCTGATGCTGCTGATCCTGCTGCTGGTACGTCTAGTGTAGGTGGTGATGCTGTGCAGTCTGGGAGCTGCGGACGTGTAGATAAGGTGGAAGGTGGATTCTTAGCGAGCTCGGATGCAGCAGAAGAATAACACGGTCCGTCCTCTCAACGGTCGTTAAGTAAAGGATATGGTATAGGAAATGTAGCAAGCATGTTATCTCTAGTAGGTATTGCTGCATAGTGTAATCATCTGTAGCCATTCTAACCTCTCCAGCTCCAGCCAGCACAATTGCTGAATAGCTTCTCACTTCTATACAGCACAAGCCCTTGGATTGATACAACACATAACACATCACACTCCTGTCATTTTAATTAGCAGCGTGAACAGGGTTGCCGCGATCGCTTCGGGCAATTTCCAGCCGACCTTGTGCGCGATCTTTTTAGCGAGCGACACGAGCAACGGCACGAGCGAGAAGATGACGAGGAGGTTGAGCACCACTCGCGCCACGACGGTGCGCGCGAAATGTCGCACGAGTTCGCCAAACTCCTCCCTGTCCAACACGCCGTCGTGGTTGGTTGACGTCGTAATCCTGCACGAGAGAGCAGGAGTGAGCGTGATAGCAAGAAGCATGCTCGTGCTTTCAGTACCAAACAGGTGGGCTGCGGAATGAGGTAGTGTGGAACGCTATCATGCTCTGAACGGAAGTGACGACTAGAAGGGATGGGACGAGACGAGAGGGAAGAGGTAGACAGTGCTTACTATGGACTTGATACAGACTGATCCGGTACGAAAGAGAAGGACGTGCACCAAGTGTACCTGTACGAGCTGGACAACTTGCTTCTTTGAAGGCGGGTTGATGTGCATCCCGGGCACGAGCGAATTCACGTTGCTGTGAGAGATGTAACGTTTGCATGGCCAGGGGGGGAACAGGGAGGAGAGATGTAACTGTTGAAGCTTGAGCAAGTGCTTTCATGCGACGCGGGGTGGAAAGTAACCAGCTCGAGCACTACAGGCAGCCCAAAACAGCACTTACGCAAAGAGTGCACACTTGTACTCGAGTAACCCGCACTCGTAGCAACCCGAAGCAACACTCACTCGTACACAATGAGAATGCCCGTGTAGAGCTCGGGAACGTTGATCACCTGCCGCCCGTCGCTCCCCGGCGTCTCGTCCAACTCCGCCAACTCCGTGAACGCGCGGTCCACTCCGCGACTCACCACGTCCCCTGGGGGCGCGGGGAGGGGGAACGGGGGGAGGTGAAGGGGGAAGGTGAGGGGGCGGAGGGGAAGGGAGGTTTCGGAGGAGCGCGAAAGTGTGCGAGGGAATTTCTGGAACAGCACGCTGACACTGCGGCTTACACGTGCCGTCACTGTAACTCCGCGCGCCGCTCTACCGCCTCGCTCGCACCGCGTTGAATGCCCGCGCAGGTCGCCGGACCGCCATAGCAACGAAGCGCTCGCAGACGCCCGACGGCGCTCCCAAAATAACCCTGCGGCCCGTGCCGCCATTACGGTCGCGGCCGTCGCGGCGGTAGAGGCGGTTGACCCGCCCGGTCTCCCTCCGGTGGACATACAGTGATAAACGCATGCGTGGTTAACAAGGCACAGCCCTTGCGGTGCACCCAACACTGTAAGCTTCCAAAGAGTGGCTATCTTGCTCAAGCCGCGCGGTCTAACCTGCGCCGCTGCGACCTGGGGAGCGTCGATAACGCTTCTCGTCGATTTTGCGCCACTGATTTTCATCGCCGAAAGCGAGCCCATTTCGACGGTCGCGGTCTCGAAGCCCTTTAGTAGTTTCTTGAACCGTCGAAGGACGCAGAAGAGATGTAACTGTATCCGCGAGAGAGAAGGCTGAGAGTTAACGAATAGGACGTCAACTCGCTGGAAGATTGAAGGAGAAAATAATTATGCTAGAGCGATGCCTGAAGTGGTAAAATACTTGTTGCCTCGGAAGCTAGAGATGCATGGAGGAAGAATTGCACCTTGCAAGCATCTAGTTCGTCAAGCTTGCAGCCTCGGAGCGCCCGATTGGCCTCCCACAAATCCGTCGAAACGCGCGTGGTTTCAATTCAAGTGCTGATCGGGTCCGATAATAGCACTTCTGGGTTGATCGTAGCCGTTCGTAGAGGGGCAATTTGTTGTCTGTTCACGTCGGGCCCACAACCGAAAAATGTCAATATCCCGGACGTGGGAGGATTTGCTTTGAGAAAGCTAGATGCATGCCAGAAACATGCCTTTCGCGTTTCCGAATATACTATGTTCATTTTTTTGCTACGGTAGGAACATCATGCATTCTCCGTGGTCGCAAACTCATGGTTGGTTCTGTTGCGAGTACCCTCATCAGTCACAACATGAATATTGCCTTCATGAGCAAACAAGAAGTCATCCATCATCTCCTGTTCCCCTACTACCCACCTCACATGTTGCCTTCCCCTTCTGACTTGCGCAGCACACCCATCCTGCAACATCAGGCCCCAATAGCAGCCCAGAGAAGCATGAGTTTTAATCTGAAACAGTAGATAGCGAGCCGACATGAATTTCCTATAGCCAGCATATTGGAAGAAAGCAATCTTACCCCCAGTTTAGCCGTTGCCGTTTCTTGCGCTGCAGCAATTCCTGCTCCTGTGGAAACGCAAAGGGTGGATGCATGTGAGGGACACTGCCAGCCAAAACATGGGTGCGCATGCTCCCACCCATGCCTACAGGACATTGTTCGGCGCCAGCCAGTGTGTTTCAGCCGGGCGTGCTCGTCGAGACATTCAAACAGCAAACCGACAGCCAGGGCATGGTGAGCAAGTCAAACCGACCGACCTGTGCAGCTCTGCACCTGTGGGATTGCTATAAGCTGCACGTGCCTCTTCACCTCCATACCGGCCGCAACCTGCACGTACCACTCTCGTCCTCTCTGCTCACCTGCAGGCTTGCTGCGAACTGCGCGTGCCATTCTGCCTGTCTCTGCCGTCGCATGTTCTCCCTCCTCATAATCGCCTCGTTCAGCTGCTGCGCTGCTGCGTGGTCGCCGTGCCGTAGTGCTTCCTCCAACCTGCGATCCAGCTCGGTCTGGGAAGCACGTGGGAGCATGTGGCGGGTACGGGGAGCACATAGAAGCATGTGACAAGCATGGGGAGCATGGGGGAGCATGGGGATCATGGGGAGCATAGGGATCATGGGGAGCATAGGGATCATGGGGAGCATAGGGATCATGGGGAGCATAGGGATCATGGGGAGCATAAGGATCATGGGGAGCATAGGGATCATGGGGAGCATAGGGATCATGGGGAGCATAGGGATCATGGGGAGCATAGGGATCATGGGGAGCATAGGGATCATGGGGAGCATAGGGATCATGGGGAGCATAGGGATCATGGGGAGCATAGGGATCATGGGGAGCATAGGGATCATGGGGAGCATAGGGATCATGGGGAGCATAGGGATCATGGGGAGCATAGGGATCATGGGGAGCATAGGGATCATGGGGAGCATAGGGATCATGGGGAGCATAGGGATCATGGGGAGCATAGGGATCATGGGGAGCATAGGGATCATGGGGAGCATAGGGATCATGGGGAGCATAGGGATCATGGGGAGCATAGGGATCATGGGGAGCATAGGGATCATGGGGAGCATAGGGATCATGGGGAGCATAGGGATCATGGGGAGAATAGGGATCATGGGGAGCATAGGGATCATGGGGAGCATAGGGATCATGGGGAGCATAGGGATCATGGGGAGCATAGGGATCATGGGGAGCATAGGGATCATGGGGAGCATAGGGATCATGGGGAGCATAGGGATCATGGGGAGCATAGGGATCATGGGGAGCATAGGGATCATGGGGAGCATAGGGATGATGGGGAGCATAGGGATGATGGGGAGCATAGGGATGATGGGGAGCATAGGGATGATGGGGAGCATAGGGATCATGGGGAGCATAGGGATCATGGGGAGCATAGGGATCATGGGGAGCATAGGGATCATGGGGAGCATAGGGATCATGGGGAGCATAGGGATCATGGGGAGCATAGGGATCATGGGGAGCATAGGGATCATGGGGAGCATAGGGATCATGGGGAGCATAGGGATCATGGGGAGCATAGGGATCATGGGGAGCATAGGGATCATGGGGAGCATAGGGATCATGGGGAGCATAGGGATCATGGGGAGCATAGGGAACATGGGGAGCATAGGGATCATGGGGAGCATAGGGATCATGGGGAGCATAGGGATCATGGGGAGCATAGGGATCATGGGGAGCATAGGGATCATGGGGAGCATAGGGATCATGGGGAGCATAGGGATCATGGGGAGCATAGGGATCATGGGGAGCATAGGGATCATGGGGAGCATAGGGATCATGGGGAGCATAGGGATCATGGGGAGCATAGGGATCATGGGGAGCATAGGGATCATGGGGAGCATAGGGATCATGGGGAGCATAGGGATCATGGGGAGCATAGGGATCATGGGGAGCATAGGGATCATGGGGAGCATAGGGATCATGGGGAGCATAGGGATCATGGGGAGCATAGGGAACATGGGGAGCATAGGGATCATGGGGAGCATAGGGATCATGGGGAGCATAGGGATCATGGGGAGCATAGGGATCATGGGGAGCATAGGGATCATGGGGAGCATAGGGATCATGGGGAGCATAGGGATCATGGGGAGCATAGGGATCATGGGGAGCATAGGGATCATGGGGAGCATAGGGATCATGGGGAGCATAGGGATCATGGGGAGCATAGGGATCATGGGGAGCATAGGGATCATGGGGAGCATAGGGATCATGGGGAGCATAGGGATCATGGGGAGCATAGGGATCATGGGGAGCATAGGGATCATGGGGAGCATAGGGATCATGGGGAGCATAGGGATCATGGGGAGCATAGGGATCATGGGGAGCATAGGGATCATGGGGAGCATAGGGATCATGGGGAGCATAGGGATCATGGGGAGCATAGGGATCATGGGGAGCATAGGGATCATGGGGAGCATAGGGATCATGGGGAGCATAGGGATCATGGGGAGCATAGGGATCATGGGGAGCATAGGGATCATGGGGAGCATAGGGATCATGGGGAGCATAGGGATCATGGGGAGCATAGGGATCATGGGGAGCATAGGGATCATGGGGAGCATAGGGATCATGGGGAGCATAGGGATCATGGGGAGCATAGGGATCATGGGGAGCATAGGGAACATGGGGAGCATAGGGATCATGGGGAGCATAGGGATCATGGGGAGCATAGGGATCATGGGGAGCATAGGGATCATGGGGAGCATAGGGATCATGGGGAGCATAGGGATCATGGGGAGCATAGGGATCATGGGGAGCATAGGGATCATGGGGAGCATAGGGATCATGGGGAGCATAGGGATCATGGGGAGCATAGGGATCATGGGGAGCATAGGGATCATGGGGAGCATAGGGAAGGTGGGAGAATCAGAAAATGGGCAGCATGGACGGGGAAGCATGAGGGCGCACATGAGCACTAGCACATGCACACAGCTCAAAATAGACGGAACTAACAGCACAGACGAACCACCTACGACCACCGATCACAGACTGACCCTACTCCAACATTTCAGACGACTCAAATGCCGCCTCACAGCCGCTTACCTCCCTCCCCAATGTGCCGTGAGGGGTGCCTTGAAACCGCCCCATGCTCATGTGCATGCTCATCCCCACGCTCATGTCCATGCTCGTGCTTGTGCTTGTGCTTGTTCTGCCTGTGCTTTGCCGGTTTGCCACAGGTACAGCTGCCAGCAACGGCCGACCTCCCACTCCTCCTCCCCTCACTGCATGTTCCCCTTGCAGACAATACCCCACCCTCTGCGCCCCGCTGCACAGCTCTGCACCACGAAATGCCTGCACTCTCCCGTACCGTACATATGCCTCCTCCTGTGCTGGCACTGTGTTTCCAACCCCAGCACTACCAACCCCCCCAGGCTCTGCGCACACCCCTTGTCTCCTGGGCTGTGCATCTGACCCGCTTCTACATCTACAACCTTCCAACGCTCTGCCTTCCCCTGCTCTACCTTCCCCAGCTCTGCCCTCCCCCGCTACCTCCCCGCATGGCTGAGCTAGCAGGATTCGCTGCTTCATGCCCTCCCTCACTGCCGAGTCTGTAGACATCCTTGGGATTGCCGAGTGTGCAGGTTCAGCCCTGGGATCTGATCTGACACCCTTGGGTCCCGCGAGACTCCTCCGCAGCCGCGACAGCTCCTAGTAGGCGGGTTTGGTTGACGGAGGAAACGAGATCAAATCATTCGAGCTTTGAACGACGTATCAAGCGCCTGACGGACGCGACGCGGGGGGACGAGTGGCGCCGGTACGTGGCAATGCGTGAAGAGGAAACGCGAATGTTAGACGAGAGTATCGCGACTTGAGGAAACGGAGTGAGACGGAACTGATGACGGGAGGGATGGTGCAACCGTGTAATGGCCTGCACACCTGAAGTTGCTCAAGCTGCTGCACTCGCGTTCGCCTACTAGTGCTGACGCCGCTGCTGCTACTGCCGCAATTGTCGCTTGCCATTGTCGAATCTCGTCGTGACGTTCGACCGAGAACGCGGATAAATGGCCGAGTGCGTAAGAGGGGCAAAGATAACTGTGCGTCAGATGAACTTAGATTACGCGCGATACGTTCGACTGAACTAATGGCGCCCCTGCTGAAGCGATGAGGCAAATGAGGAAGCCTTGGGCAAAAAGAGCTGGAGAATTTTGAGCTCTGACGCGCATGTCAGGTTGTACATCTCTCAGGACGCGTCACCTACTTTCGATCCCACAACCGACCCTCCGCAGGTTCGTTTTTTAGCGGTGATTAGGGCGTGTGTGATCTTGCCGAACCTGACAAAGTTCGAACCTAAACCGCTCTGCAACGTGGCAAAACTCTTTTAATTGTATCCTACCTTGACGAACCGTTATAAAAGTTTGAACTTTCAGTCAGGTTAAAAATGAAGGGTTTATCGCCCTATATGAGAAACCCTTCGCTTTTTTCCCTTTTTATCCCCGCTGTTGAACGATCCTGCGTACGATCGACCCTAGGATCGGAAGTAGTGACGCGTCCTCAGCACCCTTACAGTTCTTGTATCGTGGCTCAGGACGGTTCCACGCGGTGAAAAGCGGTTCTCAAGCTATACCGTTTTGCACTGTGAAGAAACCGAGTTGAGCATAGAGAAGTTGTACAAGCTGATGTCGCCCTAAGCTGTAAGCTTTCATCTGGTGATAATGCAAACTTCTTTACATATAATATACAATTCAAAGAAGTGCACAGCCAAGTGTAGCCACGTCACACATCTGGGCTATTTGATTTTGAGAAAAGTGAGGTATCTGAGAAGGCGCTTTTCAGGACGAGAAACCTCCTGCTTGCGCAAGAGAAAATCCAGCAAGTCATTCAATGCCCCGTTGAACTCTCCCACTTGCTCCTCCACCTGCACTCCACCCATTACAAGCACAAACATGACATGAAATTATGAGAACAAGCATGATCACACGATGCAAAATGGAACAAGTCATCCAATCCAAGGCATTGTTGAAGTCCCATACATGCTCCCCACCTGCACCATAACTACCACAAGCACGAGAAAGCAGAATTGTGAAAATGAGCACGATCACATGCGAAGGAACAACATACTAGCACAGATCTGAGCACAACTCTTGGTGCTACATCCCTCATGACTCAGAGAGTGGGGCGACCAAGCGAGCAGAGTCCACGCTGCGATGCACATCCAGCACCAGCTGCAACAAGTTATTGCTTACATGTCTTCAGCTGGATCAACTCTTACCTCTTCCCAGACGGGAGCATCGCCGTCAAGGAAGAACTGAGAGAGAGGAGCGACCATGCGAGCCGAGTCCACACTGCGATGCACATCCAGCACCAGCTGCAGCAAACTGCTTCTGAGACACCTCAAGTGTTTCTACATCCCTCACCTCCTCCCAGATGGGAGCATCATCGTCGGGAAAGAACTCAGAGAGCGGAGCAACCATGCGAGCAGAGTCCACACTGCGATGCACATCCAGCACCAGCTGCAACAGACTGTCCAGGCGCTCCCTGATGGGCGCACTCCGAGCGTCTAATAGGCACCTGCCATGGCAGACAAGATACAGCAGATTATTATATCCAGTCAAACGTGATAGCAAAGAAGGTAAAAATACCATTCAGGGCAGCGAATGAGGGATGAGAGGGTACCGGGTTGTGCAGTAGATGAGAAACTGGGCATGTGCTTCCTGGAATGAGAAAAGGTCCTGTAAGGTTGCGCAATGGAAAGGGGGGCAAGGGAAGGTGGAACAAAGAAAGGGGGAACGGACGGATTATGGATAGGCCGAAAGGGAATGTGAAAACGAGAATAGAGTATAATCAGATCCAGCTGGGCATGATCTAGCACAGAACGCCAAGCCAGGAACCCACAAAGCACATGAGGATTGATCCACGTGTCGCCCACACCCACCCGTGTGTTAGGTTAGAGAGCTTGTGCTTTGCCCAATGAAGTACCGATGGAATACCCAGACCCACCAGATGGGGCTTGCGTTCCGCCTTGGAGTTCTGACAGCTGAGCAGCAGCATCTGGTCGCCATGCTGCGCTGCTCGCTGCAGCTGAGCACTCATGAAGGTGAGCATGCAGGACACCAGCTGTGATGCGCGCATGCTGGGAGGGAGGAAAGGGAAGAGGAAAGAGCAGGATGGCAAGTACTGGGTGCAGTGATGGAGGGGGTGGTTGTCCAACTAGGGCTGCCCGCAGCCTCTGAGTGCTCGTGAAGGCAAGAATGCTCAAGGGCAGCTGTGATGCACGCATGCTGGGGTTGAAGGAATAGCTCCGCTATGGGAGGAGGAGGGGCTCTCACGTGAAGATGTTGAGGAAGCACAGCTGGGGACACCGCTCCCTGTGGGCTGCCCTGCCTGCTGCTGCTGCGCGTGCTGCCATGAGCGCTCATGAAGGCCAGAATGCCTAAAACAGGTTGCGAAGCGGGCATGCTGGGGTTACAGAAAAGCACAGCCACAGACGGCAGACGGCAGGGCAGGGGCTCTCACATGAACACGTTGAGAAAACACAGCCGGCGATGCCACTCCCTGTGTGCTGCCCTGCCTCCTGCTGCTGCCGCCGCTGCTGCTGCTGCTGCTGGTGCTGTTGGCGCTGGTGGCAGTGACTGAGTCAACAGTGCTGAACGGAGGACCTGACAGCAAGGGCACGGCATGACTAAGCATGAGTTTTTATGCCATGGAGCGCAAGTGTATGTTCCTGCATAGTAGGGCTGATGCGGAAAAGAACACATGATGGGTCAAGGCAAGCAACCAGCACAATGCAGCCCACATTGAAATGTTATGAACATTGATGCTGCCAATGCCTTATTTGCCCTATGCCCATGGTGCCAATGTGAAAGACATAAACCAGAGCCCACCACGACATGAACAGTGAGGCCTCCATAGGGTGACGTGACTTGGGTGAACCGGGGCCCACCATGCATACCCACCACCAGCCTGAGCTGCGCAGAGAGTGACTTTCGCTTCAACTCAAAGCTCAAAGCCCACATTGAGGTGTTTGGTAAGGCTGCCGATGGCCCGCTGCACAGGGTGCAGCCTGACCAGCGCAGTGAGCATGTCTGTCTGCATACTGCTGTACAAGTTGGGGGGGGTTATCACCACGCGAGCAGGCTATCCAGGCCCCCTAGAAATTGGCCTACCTTGACTTGAACGGTGAGGTTTTCAACAGCCCGCTGCACGTGCTGCAGCCTGAGCAATGCAGCGAGAATGTCTCCATACTGCTGCAGCAGCGGTGGTGTTATCATCACGCTGGCAGGCCAGCCTGGGTCGTACCCCACCCGCACAAAATCAAACGCGCCCAGCCCTGATGGGTGTGGGAAGGTGAACAGAAATATAAGATGGTTGTACGAGAGCTTACACAAGGGCTGTACCCCACCCGCACAAAGTCAAACACTCCCAGTCCTAAGCGCGTGTAAGATCCCCGTGCACACAGAATCGGCCATCAAAATTAGGTGGCCGTAGCGAAAGTAACCATTTCGTGATCGGTTTGCGAATCTCGTCAATTTCAACCATCAAATTTGTGATTTGATGGCCGGAAAACTAGTCGACTCTTTTCCGACGCGTGGTCGACTTCAAATCGGCCATGCTGTCGACAGCAGCTGTCTACAGTGAGAAACGAAGTCGCATACGCTGCTACAGTGAAATTGCGACATCGTATTCATGTGTGCGACATCGTCGCACCAAGTCGTAAAAAAGGACAAACCGAAATCTTCCACCTCTGTTACAGCGGCCAGCAAAACCGTGTCAGATTTGGAGGCCACACTGAGTTGGCCGAAAATTTGTCGACCTGGTGACGACTAATCTGTCGACCTTCGCGAAAGCTTTGTCGACCAAAATGGTCGACAAAATTCAGCCAAAACGTGTGCACGGGGATCTTACACACCCTAATGGTCGGTGAGGGAGGGGAGCAGAGGGACGTAGTGCAGTTGAGAACATGCCCAGGCGAGAGTCGTATTGCCTCCGCAGAACGTACCATGCACCAGAGTCGGATGGTGGGTGTGGGGAGGGATGCAGTGCGGTTGAGAAAGTGCCCCAACCGTTACAATAATCCAGGGTCTCACGGTGGGCAGACAAAGGGCCCCAAATCAGCTGCTTGCTCGCACTGCCCACTCCCCCCCTTCCCTTCCCTCTCAACCCTCCTGCCTTCACAGCTCTCATCCTTTAATTCTCAGACGTAACAGTTCATTGAATATGCAGCTCCATCTGCGAGGCTCGGCACTCACGGTGGGCAGACAAAGGGCTCCACGTGAGCTGCTTGCTCGCACTGCCCACTCCCCCCCCCCTCCCTTCTTTATCAACCCTCCCTCTTTAACAGTTCTCATCCTCAAAGAAATCTCAGACGTAGCAATTCATCAGATATGTTGCTCCACCTGCCTGCCTAGGCACTCACGGTGGGCAGACAGAGGGCTCCACGTCAGCTGCTTGCTCGCACTGCCCGCTGCCCCTCCTCCCACCCCTGGTGACATGGGGTGAGGCGGCGGTGTAGACATGGAGGAGAGGGAAGAGGAGGAGAGCGAGGAGGGCGCGACGAAGGCGTGGAGGCGGGAGAGAGAGGAGGAGGGGAGGGAGGAGAGGCACGCTCGCGAGATGGCTGCGTCCAGGGCGGAGGAGAGCGCGTGCTGCTGCTCTGGAAGCGAACGAAGGCTGGCCCAGTCCTGCCACAAAGAGGATGAGGGGAAAGGGGACACGGGGGAAAGGGACGGGAGGAAAAGGGATGGGGCGAGGGGGGATGGGGGGAGAGGGGATGGGGGGAGAGGGGATGGGGGAAGAGAGGGTGGGAGAAGAGGGGAGATGGGAGAGGGGCGAGGATGAGGAGAGGAGGTAGACGAGATGAAATCAAAAGTACGTTGAATCAGACAGCATTCACGGGCAGCAGAGAGGGCGTGATGCTGCTGTGGGAGTGAGCGAAGGCTGTAGCACTCACCACCGCATGGAGGGCGTGCAGGAGGGCGGAGGGCAGGTCGGAGTGGGGAGAGAGGAAGAAGCGGTGCAGTGCGGTGCAGTGGTCCTTGTAGCGTCCCACTGTGAACAGCACCCGCACTGCTGCCCTGCTCACCAGTGCGTGACTGGTGGGGGAAGAAGGATGGGGAGGCAGGGCCGAGAAAGGTCGAGGTAGAGAATGTTTAACTGATGGTTGACTAGGGAAGAGAGGGGAGGAGGAATAACGGGCATGCAAGAGAGCGGATGGCAGCGAGATAGTGGTGCGAGAGGAAGAGGCGGTGGCACTCACATCACATCACATAGTGCTCATTGCGAGCCATCACCAGCATACCTTGCGCGGATGGGCAGCAGCAGGTGGGCATGCATCGCATCATCGAAGCTCTCTATCCTCATAGGTCAGACTATGCTCATATCTTGCACATACCACAGTTCACGCCTTACTCCTATGGGCAGCATACCATGCGCGGATGGGCAGCAGCAGGTGGGCATGGATGGCATCATCGAAGCTCCCATCCATTTCTGTGACAGCCATGCCCTCCAGCCGCCTCTCCTCATCCGTCACATGCCCCCCTCCCCTCCCTGCTGCCCCTTCACGCCCACCCTGCCTTCCAAACGGCTCCCCACTCTGCTTCCCACCAGGCCTCCCAATCTGCTGCCTACCCGACCCACCCTGCTTCCCACTCTGCCCACTTCTCCGTCTCCCGCCGAGCTTCCCACTCTGAACCTCAACTCCTTTCTGTTTTCGCCTCCCACCGCCCGCCGCTTCTCCCTTTCTTGATCCCTCATCTCCTCTCCCCTGGGATCCCTCATTTGCTCCCTTAATTCCTCCCTCTGTTGCTCCGTTAGCTGCTCCCTTGCTTGCTCTCTCCTCTGCAAGTTTTACTGCACCCCCCTTATGCCTCTGTGCATTTTCAGCAGTAACCCCCCCATGCCTCCGCGAATGCAGGAGCACCGCATGCCACGAGATGCCACTAGCACCATGAACCGCACCCCCACCGGAGCCATCCCCATTACAAGCACCCTCGTTACAGGCCATCCACGTCCAGGGGAAAGCAGGGCCAGAGCGTGGGTCAGTGAGCCTCAGCATGGCACTACACTCCACCCATGCCTTTTGCAGCATGGGGCTGGGGGCAGTGACGCTGGGGAATCGTGCGGACTCGTTGCTTGGTATCTGCACACCAGCAAGCAGGTTGGATAGAGGAGGTGGGTGGGTGCCCTTCCACGGCCAATCAGCTGCTGCCACGTCATCACCAGGTGCATGCCAGGAGGGCTCATGCGACCAGCCACATCCAGAACAGATCTGCTCCCTCCCTTGCTCCTCCCTCCCCGGCCCTCCTTTCCGTTCCTCTTCATACCCCCCCAATGCTTGTCCTGCGATGTCTCTGTGGCCGGGTGCAGGCCTGACAGCACCAGGAGGGGGAGGCAATGGTGGCAGTGGTGATGGTGCTGCTGCTGCTGTTGCTGTTGCTGTTGCTGTTGCTGTTGTTGTTGCTGTTGCTGTTGCTGTTGCTGCTGCTGCTGCCTCTGCAGCGTGCAAGTGTGAAGCTACATCTGCTACAGATGAAACCATGCCTGTTACTGCCACTGCTGCTGTTGCCACTGCTCCTTTGACAAATACACTTCCTGCTGCTGTCGCTGTCATTATTCTTGCTGTTGTTGCTGCTACAGCTGTTCCTTTCCCAGCATCCGCTACAGCCCCTGCAGGCAGCACAGGTACTGCTGCCGCCACTAACTGCCCCCCCAGCACATCACCCACATCAGCCTTCCCAGCCTCGCCTTCTGCCCCGGACCGGAGCTCCAGGGCGTCCAGAAGCTGTCGTACCTGCAGCTCAGCCTTGGCAAATCGATGCTGGACTATCTCTCTGGTTCGGGCCACCCCAGCCAAGGTGAAATCGATGGACCAATCAGATGCAAGAGCTGGTTGGATGTGACGTGGCATTCCTCCATTGGTTGGCAGAGAGGGGAAGGGGTGTGAGTGGGGGAGGAGGAGGGAGGAGAGGAGGGTTGAGAGGCGGGAGGCGAGTTGGCGAATGGGGGTTGAGGGGGCGGAGAGGAGTATGTGCTGCTGCTGTGCTGTTCTTACAACGAGGTGTGACACTGGATGGAGGAACAAGGGCAGCAGGTGGTTGATCTGGTGTTGAGTGTGAAGGAAAGAAAAGGGGGGGAGGAGCAGGGGTAAGGGGTCAAGGGCATGGGTGGAGTGGAGAGGCCATGCAAAAACAGCATAGAGGAAAGAAAATCGAGTTAGGTTAGTTTGATTAATAGCCTGATTGAGTTGAAAACGCACCTTCCTAAAACGAAGGAAGAGAGAAGCACTCCACGCTTTGCCAACTACTGCTGCGTGGTTGGACAGGAAACGAGGTGTGTCGAACTTTGATGGGGGGGTGACTGAGTGCGGTGGGGTAACCAGATGTGAGGAGATGATCTGATGGGGCGGGGTAACCAGATGAGACGGGGTAACCATGCGTGAAGGAGGGACCATGCGAGTGGGAGTGAACTGTCCAGCAGGGGTAGGAAGGGTACGAGTGATGGCGGTGGTGGCGTTGGTGGCGTGGTTAGCAGTCCCAGCACCAGCAGCACTCCCAGCAACAGCAGCAGCAGTGGCAGCAGCAGCAAGGGAGGGGTGCAGGGAGGCGAGGTCACCCAGGGCCATGGTGCTCCTGAGCTGGCACACGAGCGGCCGGCACGACGACACAAACAGCCACCTCACCGCCTCCATTGAACCATCGCCTCTCCCCTGCCGCTGCTGCTGCTGCTGCCGCTGCTGTCGCTGTTGCTCCAGCTTCTGACTTGACCCGCGTGCTGCTGCTGCTGCTGCTGCTGCTGCTATCCGCAGCTGCGAGGTGAAGCATGCTGTGAAGGTAAGAGAGGAGGGCAGCGGCTGGGCTGCTGTGGGTGGTGGAGGGGCGCACGCCTCTGCTGCCACCGCTGGCAGCAACAGCATGGTCCATGTGGTGCGTGTGCGGCGTGCGGTGCATGTGTGCAGCGGGTGGAGTGAGAGGCATGCCTCTCATGCCTGAACTGCTCGGATCTAACGAGCAAGGCATGGGCAACTGAGGACACTGATACACCACCGACCATGCATCCCCCATCTCACCCCCTGCTGTCTCCCTCCCCCTCATCGCCCCATGATCCCATGGCTTCCCTTTCATCTCAACTCCTGCTGTCTCCCTCTCCCTGGAATCCATCCCCAGCAACGTCACCAGCCGCCTCAGCTGCTCTCTCAGTCGCCTGCTCTGCATGGCCAGCAGCAACAGAGCATCTGAAGGACCAGGTGCCATCTCTGCCGCTTCTACGTCCTTGCTTGAATTGGCTTCTTCTGAGCGTGCAGGGATGTGGCTGGCTGCTTGAGAGCGCACAAGGCTGGGGTGGTCTATTTGTGAGCGTGCAGGGCTGGGGTGAGCTGCTGCTCCAGCTGCTGGTGTCTGCGGTGAGGCAGAAAGAGAAGCAATGCACGCGTGTGCGAGCTGGGCAACCCCAGCCTCGTACTGAGCGAGAATCAGAGACAACGCCCGCACAAAACCCCTCAGAACCGGGTCTTCCCGCTCTGCACCTGCCCCTCCTGCTCCCACTGCGCTACCCTCTAGCCTTGGCTCTTCTCGCCGGGACCTGGGAGCGGCATGATCATGCTGGTGTTGCCTGCTGCTCTTGCGAAACGCACTCTCTGCACGCTCTTCCCCCTCCTCGCCCTCCTCGCTCTCGTCGTCGTCACTCTCCCCGCCTGTCCATCCCACCCACACATCCCCACTCTCTGAATCCCAGTCTGAGTCCTCCCCTCCATCATCACCGCCAGCATCACCGCCAGCAGCGTCGTCACATGCACTGCCACCTGCACTGCCCGCATCTGCCGCCTGCTGCACCATCCTGCATGCAGCTAACGGGCACGGCACGCTTGCCAGCTGGCAGTCCACGTCAGCAGGAACACGTGGCACGCCCCATGCCGCTGCTGCTGCGTCGGCAGCACCAGGCAGCGCCTGCAGTCTCGCTGCGAGGCAGTGCAGTCTGCGGCACACGTGCCCATCCGCCAGCACCTCGCCCAGCACTGCCTGTTCAATCCCCTGCCTCGCCACGTCTCTTGCAGCTGTTGGACCTCTCTTCTGCGAGCTCGTAGGAGCAGCGGGGGCAGCGGGAGCAGCGAGTGCAGAGGGTGGAGCACTACGCGAGCGGAGAGAGTGGAGGACGTAGAGGGCGGCGGGCTGGCCTCTGAGAGCGCACGATGCCACATGCGCGAGGGAGTGCGGGTGCTGGCAGACCGGGAGACAAAGGAGGTGTTGGGAGGGAGAGAGAGGGAGAGAGGGAGAGAGGGAGAGGATGGGGAGTACAGTGAAATGGAGGGACGGAAGAGATTAGATTGGGAATGGCAGTGCAAGTCTGAGGTGGATTGTGAAGTGGAGATTGCATGGTGCTGCTGTAACATGCCATTGCGACACCATGCAACGGCAGAGATGGAGCAGAGAAGTGCGGAAGAACCCACCTTGCTGCATCTGCTCTCGCCTCCTGCCATCGCCACGTCATCTGCGCAGTCAGCACAGCCAGGAGCCACGCGGCCGCTTCGTCCAATCCCATCGTCCCTCGACCCTGGTTGCCTGTCCCCGCCGCTGATCCACTCTCCTTCGCCCTCACCCGATCCTTCCCGAGCCTGATTCCCCTTCCGCGAGCCAATATCCCCATATTCCAACACTTGATCCGAGGCGTCTATATGCGAGCTTTGAGATGCCTCAGAACTGGCTCCTAGGTGTGCGTAGGAATTAGATTCGGTTAGAATGCACGGAGAAGGGTACAGGTCGGTGAGAGTGAGCGGCCTGGTGGATGGCAAACAGTACCCCCACTCCTGACGCATCTTCGATTCTAAATCCGAGATACCCGGAACGGCCTGCCAGGTGGACATCGCCTGCATTTTTTCCGCGATGCCAGATGTCACGACGGGATTCGGCGTCAGCGCGCCCAGCATCTGATCCAGCATCCTGTTACTCCTCGGTGGGTCGCCGCGATCCGTTCCAGAACCAAAAGTCCAGTTTATCCTCTTTATAAGATCACCATAGGAATCATCCAGAGAAATGCGTCTTGGCTCTCCATAGGTATCATCCGAAAGATCGTGTATTGACTCCATTTCCGGAAGGCTCGCCGTGGAATCTGGTGGAATGGGACGTTCGTGAGTAGACAAATTGATCCAAGGAGCTGGTTCGGTATGCTTGGACGGAATGCAGCGAGCATTCGCTTGTTGACGGAACTCGTTGGCGTGGCTCTCGCAAGCTGTGCTTGACTCCATTGAAAAATATGTGTTGTCTGACAGCCATGGCACATCGAACCCCCACGAATTCAATGACGCCATTCTCCTTTGTTGGAGCCTAGGCTACGCCACCTCTAGTTCACACATGCTCGTTCCTCAACCTACCGATGGTGGTACCAGAGACTAGAATCCTCAGCACAGATGCCAGCCATATGACCAGGAATGAAGCATAGAGGAGTGCTGAGTCCACATCCTGTCGAGATTCAGGGGGAGCTAGTGGTGCGTTGCACCGTGTTCCGCTATCCTGTGCAAACAGCTGTTGAGCCAGAATACACCTCAAGAACATGAGGTGATACATAGCTCCCGAACAGACCCAGTACAATATACATTTATGTAGCTCATTGGGATACCCAGGACTGTCTTTGCGAACCTTTATGTACAGTGAGAATGGCTTTATCGAGGTTTACCACAATCAGCTTTCCATGTTTGAGGTTCATAGCGTCAGCTTTCCATGTTTGAGGTTCATAGCGTCCGTGATCTCTAAAATCAAGGGGACATCTGGAACACTCCCCACAGCCAGGTTGCAATCTGGTTTTGGGATGTTCTGCCTCAATCTGTGCGCTGGGGCCACCACCACAACTTTGGAACTCGAACAATGGTCATCCGTCACCCTCACACAGGCTTCAGAACTTTTGAGAGTGTCCCTCCGATCAAACTTACCCTAACAGTTTAGGGGCACAGGTTCAGCAGCTGACCGTAATGCTGGCTGGTAATTCTGGTTGGACTTATCGTTGGTGTACAGTCTAGCGTCATCATAATATGATGGTGCTTTTCCAGCGCACAAATCCACGTCAGGGTCACGACCAATCGTAGTCAGGCATGGATCAATATTTGGGCCTCCGATTACAATCTCTGTAGGCCTCCCCGAATCCACGTGATTTCTGGAACACATTTCGTCTGACCGTTTTTTTACTATTCCTTCAACATTGGGGAAGCGTGCTTTCCCACGCACGTGTTTCAACAAACGAGACACAAACCGTTTGAGTGTGACCAAAGTGTACACTTTGAAACTTTTCGAAGGGGTGCAAGAGTTTTTCTCGAACATTTGGGACAAGTAGCCAGCTAGCCTAGATTCGCCAGAGTGATGTTGCGTAGGGGATCACAACTTTTTGTCTGAAGGCAAGGCGGAAGATTCCGCGTCCTCGCAAAGCTGAAACTGGTCCGCCGCGCGCCAGGCTGTCTCGTTGGGGGCTCCCGCTTCTTTGAACGACTAGGGGCTGTGCTGCTGGCATTTTCATCATGCCATGCGCGTCAGCACTGCCCATGACCTCAAGCAATTTCCAAGTCATTTTCCGACCAGATAGGGGACGCGCAGCGCACATGACTCAGACCACGCGCGCACGCGCTCATGGATTGGAGAGTTGACAACACTGTCGCATCTCCACCGCACCCATATCTCCCTCCCCTCCCCTTCCCCTTCCCTTCCTCCCCTCCCCACTCGACCTTCCCCCACAGTCCCTCGAGTTCCGCGTGTACTGTACTCCCCGCAGCCCTTTCCAACTGAACCTCCCGCCACACGCGTCCTTCGCAAGCTTGCGCTGAGCCCTCCGTTTCTCCCCTCTCCACGTCCCTCGCCTTTCTTGGCTTTCTCTCAGCCTCACCTCGCCTCCACCTCGTCCTACATTTTCCCACGACTCCCTCTGCATCGCTGTCTTGTTTTCACAATTGCTGTCTGCTTTGCTGGATGTACTTGCTGTGCCTTCAATCTTCGCAGCTGAATCTTCTACTTTTGTCCTGTTGGCCCAGTGTTCAATTGCATCGCCTAGTCAGAACTCCAACAAGTCAGGAAGAGTCAGACCAAGATCTTAGTATCATAGCTTAGGATAAACCTTCTCTAAAACTTTCGTAAAGCCGCGTCTGTACCGCCGTTTCCGTCTTTGTCGGCGTTTACCGTCAGCCACCATGTGTCGCCCGCCTGATGTAGTTCCTGGCGCGGCTCAGTCCGAGGCTGAGGAAGAACTCGACGCCAGGTGGCGGGCTCAGCAGATTGACGATGCCGCTGCGTACGGCGGTGCTTGGAACTGGAATCCAATGACTGCTCCTGGCGGCCGGTAAGCGATACGCGCTGGCACTTACAAGTCTTTCTAGAAAGTCGCGAATTGTTCTCGTCAACTGTCACCCTTCTATGAGCCTCGCCAACTCGCCCCAGTTTCGCGTCGCAGTACTTGACACAAAACGCTTAGTCCGTCCCCTGTCCCTTCGTTCTCCCTGATTTCAGGTTATTTGGCGGAAACGCCGGGATGTACGGCATGATGTCTGCAGACCCATCGCAAATGACCGCCATGCAAACCCGCCAACCGCTTCAAGCGCAGTGGCTCCTCCCGCAGCACGCCCAGCCCGCCCTCCCCAAACCGCCGCAAATGCAACCCCCTACCGCGCACACGCCTTCCGCGCAACCGATGTTCCCGATGTCCTGGCCGTCGCACTCCGCGCAAGGCATGTCGGCGCCGGCGCCGATTCTGGCGGCGAAGGGCCCGCTGGGGTACATGTCGCAGGGCATGGCGCAGGGGATACCGTGCGGGCTGCCGCAGGAAATGGAGTTCCACGCGGGCGATATGGGCGCGATGAGCACGGACGGCATGACGGCGGAGGAGCTCGCGGAGCTAGACCCGAAGAAACATAAACGGTGAGGCGCTAAGAAGTGGACCATTTCGTTGTCATGTCATCGCTTGTGTTTTGACCCGTCGGTTGGACGTTGCGTTCTAGTTGCGGTGTGGGTCTAACGGGTTTTTGCCCTCGTCCTTCTCCGTTGCCCGTGTCGTTCGTCGCAGGATGATGTCGAACCGCGCGTCGGCGAAGCGGTCTCGGCAGCGGAAGCAGGAGCGGCTGGAGGAGCTGGAGATCCAGAGCGCCAAGCTGCGCGTCGAGAACGCGGCCGTCACGCGGCGCCTGAACGAGGCGTCGGATCAGATTCGGCAATACCAAGAGAGCAACGACCGCCTGCAGAACGAGCTCAAACGGCTACGCGACGCGCTCGCTCGCGCCGGCGTTCCCGTTGCGAACAAGCCGGCTGACGCGGCGGCGGACGCGGATTTCGCGCTCAAGGTTGGTCAGGCGGGGAAACGGGAGGTGGCGGAGCCTTCGGCGGAAGGCGCGGGGAACAAGCGCGCGAGATTAGTGGCGTCGACGAGTTTTGAAGAGTCGGAAGAGGAGGGCGTGCATTCCCCCAGCGCGATCACGGGCGCGACTGCGCCTCCATCGCATGCGGAGGGAGTCGCGGCAGACGCGGCTGTGGTGGCGAACGGTGCGGGTAATGAGGGGATGGCGCGGGCACGCGCGGAGGGTGCGGGGATGGCGGGCGTGAAGGGGATGTGTGGGATGAAGGACGCGGACACGTTGGCGGACGCTGAGTTCCTGGCGGGGCTCATTGGGTGCTTCGACGATGGCAAGCCTCTCGAGGCGCTCATGTGAACGCGACTAGGGTTGGATTATGCATGAGATGTGGTTTGGAGGCGGATGGGAAGTGGCTGGCTATTGTGGATGTGGGAATGAGGCGGTTAACGTATTTAGGATGGCGGGTGCGAGGGGGATGGTGGTGGGGTGGGTGGGGTGGGAGGTGGGAATTGGAGTGGATGCGAGGAAGACCCTATATTATTATTCGGTATAGATTCTTCTTGATGCCTAAGGGCCGGTGGCCCATATAGGGAACATAGTGCTGTCAAGCACTTGTATGCTAGGTTCCAACTAAACCTTCACTGACACACCAATCTACAATGTTATTTCCAGACAGACGTCTGAATTGGCCTACTCATGTTCAATCGCCAGTGCCGCACTGCACCCCAGCAAAATGCAGCACCCCTCCTGCCATTGACTCTTCTAGGCTGTGATGCTGTGTATAACCTACATACGGTATCAGAATAACCTACGGTATTGGACTGTATTTCACTGCACTGCACTAAAGCGCAGGTAGCCTCTTATACTAGTGTAGTGTGGATACGAGGACACTTGCTAAGACATGGCATTTTGGTGTAGGACGAATATATGTCACTAGTTATGACATGGCATCATCTCCACTACTGCCACAAAGACTGGCTTGAGCATCAGCAGAGTGAAGCTGTAATCTCTCCTCACATGCTCCAAGAGCCTCCTCCCCATCCTCCAATGTCTTTGCTGTCGTTGTGAGCCTATTGCGCCCAGCATCTTCCATGCCTTGCTTGTGGTCGAGGCAAAAGATGATGACTAAAAGGGGTATGAACATGACCAGGAATATGTACACAAAGGTGGGCCTGATCGTGCCAGAAGCCTGTGTGAGTGAAGGGTTGTGTATTGGGAGGAGGGAGGGCCAAACCAAAGGGTGACAGAATGAGATGGAGGTGAGATGGCTGAGGCTGAGGTTGCGAACGAGATAGGCGAGCAGCACACAGCCAGAGAAGTGAGACACAGCACACCACACCCGAACAACCCACCTGAGCAATGATGGCGACGACGAACGGGCCAAAGGAAGAGCTGCCCTTGTCACTGATGGTGTAGATGGTAAAGAACGCGCCCTCCTTGCCCGTCGGCATTAGGTCCACGTACAGAGTACGCGAGTAGGACAGCAGTGGGCCGAGACACAGGCCAAACCACCCCACGTAAGCGAACAACTCCCACGTGTGTTTCAACCCGAAGCTATCTGTGAAGTAGCCGATGAGGCCCCAGAGCGGCAGGGGTAGCATGCCGCCCAGAGCAATCATTGCCATTGTCTTATTGCTCCACTTGGTTCGTCTCTGTATGAGGTACAGCACCGGCATGCCGGCTGCTGCCCAGAATGAGACCGAGGTGGCGAGGATGGCGAGCGTTGCGGGCGGCACACAGAGGTCCTGCTGCCCGAAAATCACCCCCACTTGGATGATAGTGGAGAACCCATCAGCGTACACAAAGTAGCATGCGATGAACACGAGTGCGTTCCGGTGGTGCCGATACGCCTCGGCGAATGTGTCCCCCATTCCTTTCCAGCTCGCACCCACAATGCTGAAAAAGAACCGCACCCGGCTGTAGCACGACCCCCAGCTGTAGCAGCAACCCTGGCAGGCCTCACCCGAGCTGTAGCAGCCAGCGCCGCTACAGCCGGAGCAGCAGCCCCCATCCCTGCCTTCCACCGCCCCCTCTCCCTCATGATGATTCCCCGCAGGAGGAGTGGGGAGTGGGAGCGGGGGTCCCGGTCGGGAGCGGAGGTAGAGAAAAGTGGGGAGCGCGAAGAGGATCCAGCAGAGGCCACAAAACGCGGTGGCAACTCGCATCTGCACCGACTGATCCGAGGAAACCAGCGTGAGCGCAAACGCAACGAGCGTGATCGGTATATCTCCCAGGCACCCCGCCGCTAGCCCTATGAGAGAGTACCGATTCTCCACGTCTTCCCGTGCCGCTGCGACTGCTTCCGCGTCGGCCTTTGCCTCTGCGGAGAGGACTTCGGGTGACGCGTGCACGAGGAGGGGCAGGTAGCCGTTATAGCTGACGGTGGCGAGGCCGTATCCGATGCTGGCGATGATGACGAGGAGACCGGCCAGCAGCCAGAGAGAGGGTGTGAGCATGAAGAGAAGGGCCGTGCAGGCCGCTGCGCCCATCCATGTGCCCACCTTGAGCATCTGGAGGAAAGGGAGGGGGTGAAGAGGGGTTGGGATGGTTTGGGGGGATGAGAATGTTAGGAGGATAACGTACCGTCCGGGATCATCAAGAGGGACGCGGAGAGCAGCAGGAGGCGGTAGGAAGGGAGTGAAAAAGTGAGGAGAGGAGTTTTGTGGGGAGCGGATGGAGGTGGGTGAGGGGAAGGGTGAGGCAGAGGAGCGTAAATGCTGTTGCGTCCTCTCAGCTCTCTCAGAACAGCCGTTTGAAACCATCAGTGCACGCACCTGTTTCCTGCCGCGGCCGTAGTCCGTGAACGGGCCGAGCGACACGAGTGCGACGATCTGGCAGCACACGGCGACGCCGATCACGATCGTCGCGTACGACACGGGGTTGATGCTAAGCGAGCCGAGCCGCACGCGCGGCTGCTCCAGCTCGCTGTATCCCCCCGCTGACGTCACCAGCTGGTTCCCCTTCCCCGGCATGCATTGCAGGCAGTCGGCGGTGATCACATCGGTGGACTGCGGTGGCTTTGCGGCGCCCGAGTCGTTCCAAGCTTGTGCGTCGGCGAGCAGGAGCAGCAGCAGCGGGATGAAAATCGGCATGGCGACGGCGCTAAACGAGTTCGCTGCAACGTTGTACGAGTACCACCCCCATAGCTCCCGCTTCGTCAGGGGAACCCTCGAGCCCTCCGCGTATGCTTCTCCTCCCGCGTATTCCCCGCTTCCCGCGTTTTCCCCGCCTTCCGCGCTTCCTGCGCGCGTTCCGCTTCCGCCAGGGTCGTCTAGGTCGAGAAACGCGCTAGCGGCTTTCTGTCGCATGCGCTCGTCCGTGGGTGTGTATTCCAGTCGCGACACTATAACGGGGATGGGAGCGACCTTCGCCATGGCCTCCTGCCGTTCGCGATATTGATAGACTAGGCTTCAGCGAACCAGTATTTCTACGTTATTCGAAGAAATCTTGCGCGATCGACAGTCTAAGCTTCAAAGACAAGCAACCTTCTCGGGCGATGAGCTCTTGCGCCCGCTGACCTCGATATCGTTTACATTAGCGTACCAGAAGAGGTTCCAGTCGCTCTTTTACGCGATTACCGTGTCGCCTGAGAACCTGTCCAATGTCTTAGATTTAGCCAGCCAGTCCAGACGAGGATCCGACGCTACAGCTCGAGTTAATAGGCGGTCATACGGCAAAAAGTTTACTTCGTCATGCAGTTCATGAAGTGCCTTCCCACACGGGCGATATGCAAATGCTCTTAGTTCCTAGTCGACAGTGCCAATGCACGGTCATCGCTCCTTGTAGTTCCTCGAATCGTCAGAACCAATTAATTCGGGTCCTACCTGGGGGCGGCGAGAAACTAGAACGCTAGCCACTTACTGACGGCGCCTCTCTGCTTCAACATGCACTGCGCATCCTGCCTTCTGAAACATCCTGACCTCTGATACACTTCTTCCCTACTCAATTCCGCTCTACCGACAGCTGAGCCAGGTTGCAAGCGAGGTGCATGATCGCGTCTGGGGCAGTGAGGGAGGGAAGATGTGCAATGCCGAATTTCGCCAAATTGAGAGGTGGGTGAAATTTGGGATTTCGAGCGACTCGGGATCATCGCCATCACAACGCGACGCGACGTTTTTTCTCGGGATTTGAGTTAAAGAAGCCCAACGGATTCTGGTCGGTCGAGATGTGACCGTGTGATGGCGAAAATTATGCGAGCCTGTGTTTTTGTGCGAATACAGCTGATTCGGCAACACTATAGGTGAATTATTATTCTCTTGAGCTGTGTAGATAGAATAGAGCATTACTAGTATGTGTAATCAGTTGGTGAGGAGCCAACCCGTATTGGAAACAAAAGCACAGGACCTTGGGTCCTGAAAGCATGTATAAAGCCTCACGGATCTACATGGACAACCTGAGTCCCATGAGCGTGGCTGGCTTCGTGAAGACCCTCCTCTTGTAACCTCTCTTGCTGCTTTGCCCTCCCAGCCTCTGCCACCCCCTTGTTGTGGTTGATAAATAATTGGACGGAGATGACAGGGATGACCAGCACGAGAAAGACATATCCAAACACAGGCCGGAGCTGACCCCCCACCTGAAAAACAGACAGAAGTGAATGGCCAGGGGAAAATACAAAGTTTACGCACATAAAAACAAACACTCAGTGAGGCCAGCTGACCCTACTGTACCTTCAAGACACGGATGCTACTTGTACCAGCTGATCGATGCCGCACACTCTCCCCAGTAGCACCACATGCATGCATACCGTCATCTACCATATGTCCCTCCCGTGTCCTCACACATCCCAGGCTCATCCATAACATCCCAACAAACCCAGACATCACAATCTCAGCCCTGCACAGCCCCCCAGCATCAGCACCCCAGCAGCATCCCCCCAGCACTGACCTGCGTGACAGCGGCAATGACGAACGGACCGATGCAGGAGCTGATGCGATCGCAGATGAAGAAGAGTGTGAAGAATGCACCCTCGCGGCCCACGGGGATGAAATCAATGAACAGCGTGCGCGAGTATGACGTCAGCGCTCCCAGGAAGAACCCCAGCCACGCCGCGCACAGGTAGATCTCCCACGCGGATTTCAACCCGAATCCGCCGTCGGGAGTAAAATACCCGATGAACCCCCACACGGGCAGGGGAACTAGGCACGTGAGGAGGATCACGACCATGGTCTTGTTGGTCGCGTGGGTTTTCCGCTGAAAGAATAGAGCAATCGGCATGCCAGCGATGGCAACAATGGCGACGGTGAGCGCGACAATGGCCATGGAAGAAACAGACAGGCAGAGGTCGTTCTGTCCAAACAGCACCGCCATCTGCAGCATCGTGGTGAACCCGCTGCTGTACGCGACGAGGCAGACGAGAAAGATGAACGTGTAGCGGTACCGGGAGGCCTCTTTGAAGAGACGAAAGAGGTGGCGCCAGCGGTTGAGCATGGAGAAGCCGGTCTTGGGCATGGGTGGGCCGGGGCGCGGGTGCAGCCAGGCAAAGGTAAAGGCGGAGAGGGCGATCCACCAGATGCCGCACACGGCCACGGTGACGCGGAGCTTGAGCAGGTCGTCTGGGATGAGGAGCGTGATGGCGAAGGTGAGCAGCATGGAGAGCACGCTGGCGAGGGTGCCCATGGCTAGGCCTGATAGTGATGCTTGGTTCTCTACCTGGGGAAAGGGGGTAGAGGTGGTAAGGCAGAGCAGAGGATGAGCAACATGATGTGATGGCGAAGGTGGGCAGCATGGAGGTCACGATGGCTTCGGTGCCACGTTTGAGAATTCTCAAAAGGGCCACACCTGATAGCGACGCCTCGTTCCCCGCCTGGTGGGAGGGAGGGGATGAGGAGAGGAGGAACGGTTGATTTGCAAGGGATGGCTGGTGGCAATGTTGTTCAAGAGTCGGATGCAGGAGGGGGATCCGGCCATCTGAGTGTGATTGGGTTGAGGCTGTGAGATGGTTGGGTGTGACTCAGAGACAGAAGGAAGAAGCCACCTCACCTTCTCCCTGCCGTCTCACCTTATCCCTCCCTCCTTCCCTCCGTGCCACCTCACCTTCTCCCGGACAGCAAGGATGGATGCTTCGTCTGGACCTGCAGCGAGCACCTTTGGCGATGCATCCACCAGCACAGGCAGGTAGCTGTGCAAGGCGAAAGAGAGAGGGGGGGGGAGGGAGAGAAAGGAGGAGGGAGGGGGGGTGAGGGGAAGGGGAATTGGAACGATGGGGGCCAGAGGGAAGAACGAGAAAATGATGTGTTACTGGTTGAGCCAAAGCACGTCACCCTGCTGCACCCCACCCCACCTGTTACGGCACCTCACCTGTTGTAGCCGACGAGCGAGATGCCGTATCCGAGGTTGGCGATGATGGCAAACAGCCCTGCCAGCCACCAGAGGGGTGTTGAGACGGCATGTTGCCACGTGCATGGAGCGCCTGTCACAGCACCTCATTGCCTGCCTGTAGCGCGCCTAGCAGCCCGCCCCTCTCACCTGTTGTAGCCAACGAGTGAGATGCCGTATCCGAGGTTGGCAATGATGGCAAACAGCCCTGCTAGCCACCAGAGGATTCCTGAGGCACCTCATATTTACCTGTTGTAGCACCTGTAGCACCCTCACTCTCACCTGTAGCACCCTCACTCTCACCTGTTGTAGCCAACGAGTGAGATGCCGTATCCGAGGTTGGCGATGATGGCAAACAGCCCTGCTAGCCACCACAGCGACGGCGCTGTGAGCGCCAGACAGAGAATGCACGGGACTGCACCCATCAGCGTGCCCACCAGCAGCATCTGTGGTGTGGAGGGGGGCAAGAATCGATGGAGGGATGGGTTGAAGGATTGATGAAGGGATGAGTTGAAGGTGAGAATTAGCAGCAAGAGGAGGAGACAAGCAGGGCAAGAGAAGCAAGGCAGAGAATGCGTCCCATCATCTCACTCACCCGCCATCTGCCCTGTTCAAAGTCAGCCTCGGCGCCGAAGCACACGAGGCCGATTATCTGCACCACCACGGCCAGCCCTTGATGCACCTTTCTCTCCCCCCCCCCCCTCCCCCCCCCCCCACACTATACCACCCCCCGCGCTCTCACCCGCCATCGCCCCTGTCCGAAATCCGCCTCAGCGCCGAAGCACACAAGGCCGATGATCTGCACCACCACGGCCAGCCCGATCACCACCGTCGTGTACGCCACGGGCTCCATTGATAGCGCGCCCGCGTGCAGGTTCGGCGAGTCGTATGCCGTGTAGCTGAATGGAGGGGTGGGGAGGGGACGGGGGAATCGGGGAGGGGGGAATGAGGGAGTGTGACGGCCAGCCCGATCACCACCGTGGTGTGCGCCACGGGCTCCATGGACAGCGCGCCCGCGTGCAGGTTAGGCGAGTCGTACGCCGTGTAGCTGAATGGAGCGAGAGACTTTGGCGGAAGTGAGGCGGGAAGAGAGCGGAAATAGAGGGAGGGAGACATGGGGAAACGCGAGGCGGGGTAATGTGAAGCGCGGGAACGCGAGGCGCGGGAATGCGAAGCGGGGGAATGCGAAGTGCTGGAATGCAAAGCGCGGGAACGCGAGGCGCGGGAAAGCGAAGCGGAACGATGGGACACAAGGCGGGGCGGCGAGACGGGAAATTGGCGCCGGGGGAACACAACGTGGGGCAAGGCGGGAAGCATGAGAGACGGGATGCGAAGAGGACCGCACACTCGGGTCTGCCCGAAACCTAAAAGACCGCCGAGTCCTCCAAGGGACCATTCGCAGCGGCGCGTAACAAGATAACATGACATGCGAATATGACGACATGCGAATTAACCTTTTTCGCGCGGCACGAGCGTACCCTGTTGACGTCATCAGCTGTTGCCCCTTGCCCGCGACGCATTGCAAGCAGCCCGTCGTGAGCGTCGCGTTGCACTGCGGTGGCGGCGGCGCGCCGGCTTGCGTGGCGGCTTGCGCGGTGGCGAGGTAGACGAGAAGCAGCGGGAAGAAAATCGACATGGCGACGAGGGAGAACGCGTTTCCCGCCGCGTTGTAAATGAACCATCCCCACCACTCGCGACGCGTCACCGGGTCTTGCTCCTTCTCCGCGCTTGCAGCCGCGACTTCCGGCGGCACATCCTCCGGGAAGCCATTGCCGTTCGGACCGCTTAGCGGCGCTTCGACGGACGAATCTCGCGTCTGATCGGTCGTCATTATCTAGTGATTCGGCTCGACGAGTATTGTCAAGCCACAGCGGACGTGCGTCGACCGGTAGAATGTGCGTCTCGCGAGAGTCTTGAAGAACGAGCCGAGACAGACAAGCACGGTCACAGCGAGGCGTCTACATGCTACGGAAGGAGGGAGCTAGGCTTCAAATCAGGCCAACTGGAATGGAGAGAGTATATGCGCGAGTGACACGAGTGCGGCTCGCTTGTACGAGTAACGAGCGGTTGCAATTGCAAGAAAGCGAATCCATGGTGGGTGTAGCGCGGGGCGTTGAGCCTGGTGGTGAGGGGTGAAAAGAGACTGAGTGAGGTGGGTCGAGAACAACGCTCTGTGGGTGGATGGGTGGGTGGGTGAGCGCGTTGCGTACAGTACATAGGGCAAGTCCGTGCGGTGGACGTGGGAGGAAGATGCAATGCAAATCATGCGATGCGACAGAAGGGTCATCGTGCTGTGCCAGCTTTGCGGTCTGTGCACACTGTACACGGTCCTCTGCCCGTCCTTCACAGTTTTGCGCTGCGTTGGGCAGTTCAAAAAGCAAGGGAGCGAACCAGGCAGCGCGATGGAGAGATTGTTCGCGCGCGACAACGATACAAGCATTCGGAAAAGATAGGATTTGTGAATCGCGGGCCTCATGCTTTGCTTGCAGGGATGCCTGCACGAATGCAGTAGAATCACATGATTCGATTTCTTGGATGACCTTTTTACACAGCCCGAATTTTCCTACAGTTCATCGGGCTGGACGGAACGAAACTCATTGCATACAGCGAGTCACAGTTCCCATAACTGTTCCAAGTTGGTGGGCTAGTGCCCACCCTCAGAATCAGTACTGAAAATCCAGGTGGCACTATGGATCTCAAGTTCCCACCGACAGGGGCGGCAACTGTTTCGTACTCGGCATAGTTTCGCTTCTGGTAAAACAGCCCTGGTATAGGATAAATAAGTACTTCCCCATAGAACCGATTTTCTGGTGATCCAACAGATTCCCACACACATGCATATTTTATACAAACTCCTCATACACTACCTCTTTTCTTGGGTGCTGCACCAGCAACTTTCTCCTTTCTTTTCCTCAAAACACTTCCACCCTCCACCTCCTCTCCCATCTCCCCACCTTCACCACTAAACCCCAACATTGCCATCTCACTGCCCAGCTCCAATTGCTCCACAATCCCTCTAAGCGCCCCCCCAGACTTGCCTCCCCCTCTGCTTCCCACATCACCCCCTCCATGTCGCCCCTCTCCCCCCTCATCGACCCCTTTTCCCGTCTTCCCACTTTCCAATTTCTTAGTCACAGCCGAGACTGCTGCATCCGCAGCTGGTTCTCGTTGCTTCTTACGGGGCTTGGCATTAGGTGTGGAGGAAGAAGGCAGTACAGCAGGAGAATGGGCAGGAAAAGACGAGGGGACAGCAGAGGAAGGAGGGGCGGAGAGAGCGGATGGGGCAGAGGGAGCAGCGCCAAGCAGGTCCTGGAATTCTCGCAGCAGACCCTCCTTTCGCTGCTGCTGCTTCTGCCACACTTCTGGGCTTTCCAGATACCTGGCAAGGAGGGTGTGGGATGGGAGGAGGAGCAAGCATGAGGGGCACATACTTGGGGGCTGCAGGCAAATGAAAAGGAGGCGTATGAGACATGTCAGTTGGGCTCGTGGTGCTGTAATGTGGAGGCGCAATGACTCACTCTGCCAGGCCTATGTGGCGGAAGACAGGCCGCTGCAGCAGAGAGGACGACGCCGACGAATAGCGCGTCGCCAGCTCAGCGAGGATCATCTGCTTGCCGTCCACCCCCATGGCGTCAAACGCTGCCGACACCACGAATGCTCCCAGCTTATCCGCTGCTATCGTCGTCAGGCGCGGCTTCAGGCTGCAAAGGGTGGAGAGAGGGTGAGGAGACGGTGGGAAAAGGTAAGAACGGTAAGAATTCAAAACGCTTGGAAAGCCGTCCAGCCAGCCCAAAGGTGTCAGGTGCTAGCAGCATCACAAATGCACCCAGCATATCCGCTTCTATAGTCGTCACGCACAGCTTCAGGTTCAGAGGAGCGGTGTCAGGGGCACGGGGAGAGGATGGGGAGAAGTGAGACCGGGGAGAGGATGGGGAGACAGCACAGCACAGCAGAGCACAGCACGTGGCATGAAAGCACCTGAGAGCACCGCACGTTCCTGTTAAGCATGAACAAGGTCCAGAAGGACGTTGACGGATCGGAAGAAGGCGGAGATCACGCGCGTGCCCTTGACGTCCCTTGCCACGTGCATGAGGTAGGAAGGCGGGGAGAGGGCGGGGAGAGGGCGGGGAGAGGGCGGGGAGAGGGCGGGGAGAGGGCGGGGAGAGGGCGGGGAGAGGGCGGGGAGAGGGCGGGGAGAGGGCGGGGAGAGGGCGGGGAGAGGGCGGGGAGAGGGCGGGGGGGGGGGGGGGGAGAGGGCGGGGAGAGGGCAGCGCAGCACTCGGAAGGAACCGCACATACCTGGTGAGCATGGTGGTCTTGAGGTCCAAGGGAATAGCGGCCGCGCGGAAGAAGGCGGAGAGCACACGAGTACCCTTGACATCCGTGGCCAGGTGCATGAGGTAGGAAGGTGGCAGCGCCACAATCGCCCGCACCACTCGCTGCGATGCTTCCTGCCAGTGGGAAAGGAGGGTGCGGGGTGGGAGTGGTGGCATTTGCGGGGATGGATGAGAGCAGAGAGCACATGAGTACCCTTGATGTCCGTGGCGAGGTGCATGAGGTAGGAGGGTGGCAGCGCCACAATCGCCCGCACCACTCGCTGCGACGCCTCCTGCACGTGGGAGGGGAGGGGTATGACGGGAGGGGTAGAATGGAACAGGTGAGGCGATCTACGCGGGAGCTTCATTAGCACAGCTGGCAGAGCAGAGGGGGATGAGAGCAGGGAGAGGCGCAGCTTGAGATCGCAGCTTACCAACTGCGTGCACCTTGAGATCGCAGCTTGCTGCAGCACTGGAGACTCACGAGAGGAAAGGAGAAGATGGTCTGCATGCAGCGCCATGCACCCCACGAAGGACACCGCCCCACGCTCCACCACGGGCACGGAACCCCACCCCTGCTGCTGCTGCTCAAGTCTTGCGAATGCTGTTTGCAGCAGCACTAAGACTCACCAGGGGAAACGAGAAGATGGTCTGCAGTGCCATGCACCCCACGAAAGACACCGCTCCGCGCTCTGCCACGGGCACGGACCCCCACCCCTGCTGCTGCTGGCGCTTCTTGGCTCGGTTGGAGCGCATGTCGTTCACCCGCACTGCCTGCCACGCGTCCAGCCACAGCAAATCGCCCACCGCTGCTGCATCTGCTGCTGCTTTGTCGACTGGTGCTGGTGACGGTGAATAGGAGAGGGCTGCAAGCAGGCTGTCACACGCCTGCAAGGGTTGCGTGCATGGGAAGAGATTGAAATTATGAGAATGTTGCCTGGTGCTTGTTTATCACGAATGCATCCGCCCTTGCTCGAGTAACACCACACCACAATCACCATTCACTCACCCGCGCCTGAAACGTCTTGGTGCGACCGCAAGCAATCAGCAGAGCCAGCACCACGCGTCCCCTGCCCCCCTTCAGCAGCTCCAACAACCCTGCCCCTCTCCCTCCCCCATCCCTGCCGTCTTCACCCCTCTCCCCCCCTTCCCCTTCCCCTTCCCCCTGCGCTCCCCCCGCCAGCGCCTTGAAGGCGCGTTTGACGTCGTTGGGGGAGTGGAGGGCGGAGAGGGCGGTCTGCACGGTGTAGTTGGCGATGGGGTGCAGGGCGAGGGACAGCAGGTGGGGCAGCAGGGCCACTCGCAGGAGAGAGGAGCGGAGTGACGGTGGGGCGAGTAGAATCACGGTCTGGGAAGGAAGTTGGGGGGAGGGGAGGGGGAACGGGAGGAGATGGGGAAGGGGCCAACGCGGGATGGAATGAGGAGCAATGGGCAGAAATCAGGGGGAGTGGGAGCAATGGGTTTTCAGATCAGCATGCGGAAGTGGAATGACGGTCAAACCAAGAGCATCAGCCAACCCCCTCTCACCTCCATGAATCGCGACCCACACCGGTCCTTCATAAGCTCAATTATCTGCCCCACCTCCTCCTCCACCTGCTGCTCTGTCTCCTCCCCTTCCTCGCCCCCCTCTGCTTCTTTTCTCCTCCCCTCCTCCTCATCCCCTTTCTCTCCCCCTCCTCCTTTTCTCTTCTGCTTCTCTTCTTTCCATGCCCTCCCTCTTGCCTGCCCGGCCCTGCCCGTTTCCTTTTTTTTGCTGCTGCCCGGAGCACAGCCTCGGGCAGGTGGAGCAGAGAGGTGATGACATGGGTGAGCAGAGCAGCATCATCGCGAATCACATCGAGCACCACCTGCATAGGTAGGGACGGCAAGGAGTGGAGTGGATTACACACCTGCGATTCTATTCTGATCAGAATGCATTCTATTCTGGAGGCCCAGCAACACCACCAGAAGCAATACCATTGGCACGGCACAGCACACCCACCTGCAGCAGAGGGCCGGCAGAGGGGTCACAGGCGAGGGACCACGAGTCCCCATAGGGCGACCACGCCACTGCTGCTGACGGCACTGCCTCGTCTGCCCCCGCTGCTGTCATCCCCACAAATGAGTGGAAACAGCAGCAAATGAAATGAGAGTCTCACCTGGAGAAGAGGGCCAGCAGACGGGTCACAAGCCAAAGTCCACGAGTCCCCATAGGGCGACCACGCCACTGCTGCTGACGGCACTGCCTCGTCTGCCCCCGCTGCTGTCATCCCCACAAATGAGTGGAAACAGCAGCAAATGAAATGAGAGTCTCACCTGGAGAAGAGGGCCAGCAGACGGGTCACAAGCCAAAGTCCACGAGTCCCCATAGGGCGACCACGCCACTGCTGCTGACGGCACTGCCTCGTCTGCCCCCGCTGCTGCCGCCGTCAGCCCCACCACCACCCGCTGCAGCAGCGCCCCGAACCCCAACGCCGGCCCCACCCTCCTCCCTCGCTCCGCCGCTGCCGCTGCCGCTGCTTCTACTCCCACTTCCTTCCCTCCTGCCAACCCTGCACCCTGTCCGGCCACTCCGGGCAGCCCTGAAAAAGTCACATTGGAGGACATGGGGAAATTCCCAGCTGCCCGCTGGATCTGCGGAGGCAAGCGGCCGCCGAACCTTCTCCCCGCGCCACCCTCTCTCCCCTCTTCCCCACCCTCCTCCCCGCCCTGCTCCCGCTTCTCCTCCCCACCCACCCCATCCGTACCCGCACCGTCCCGCCGGGCCTTCCTCGTGCCCTCTGCTGCTGCGGGCGTGTCGTGGATGGGGCGACAGGCGAGGAGGAGAAGCAGGGAGCGCAGCACGTGCGAGCAAGCCGGACTGGTCATGGCTGCTAGGGGATACGCTCCCACCTCTTTGCAGATCTTTTTCAAAACCACCCGCACTGTTCCGGTCCATTTTGGTAAATCACCCTCGACTCCCGTCCCCTCCTCGGTTTCCTCCTCCTCCCCCTCCCCATCCTGCTCCTCGTTCTCGTCGTCTCCTGCCCCGGTTTCGTCCAATCCCGCGCTGCCACGCGTCCTGCTCTCTCCCGTCACCCACGCCCGGATATTCTGCAGACCCGCTTCAATCACCCTCGATGCAAGCCCATGCGCCAATACATCCCGACAAACATTCACCTCCCGCTCCCCCGATCCCTCTCCCCCTCCCCCCGCGCCTTCCCCCCTTCCCCTCCCTTCCTGCGCGCGCAGCAGCAGGCGCCGGCGAGGAAGCGCGCGGCGGCGGCGGGGGGGGCGGCTTTGAGGAGCGGCTCGAGCGTGCGGCAGGTCTGAGTGTCCCACAGCAGCTGGTGCTCCTTCCCCCGAGCCTCCTCCAGAGCATTGGCCGCGATGGAGGCTCGGTCTGAGGCGCGGGGGAGGTTCGGGATGGGGCATTGAAGTTCATGCGGGACGGAGGGGGAGTGAAGCTCTAGAGTGAGAGAGGTGCGCGGAAGGGGGGAGAGAGGGGGTTTAATACGAGGGAAAAAATGAAATGGTGAAGGGTAGAGAGGGTAAAGAAAGGCGATATCAGGCGGAGTAAGGAGGAGTAAGGAGCGCACCGTGCGGGTCGGGGGTGTCTTCCCACGCGGTGGCGATCTCCGTGAAGTACTGCGAGAGAGACGGGTCCAGCACGCGTCTGGAGGTAAGGGGCGCGAGAGAAGAGGAGAGAGGAGCGTGGGAGAGACGGGGGTGGTGAGCGGGAAAGCGAGGCGGGGACAAGACAAGCACGTGGCGATTTCCGTGAAGCAGTGCGAGAGAGACTGGTCCAGCACGCGCCTGGCGCGGACATGGGGGAGAGGGGGACAAAGGGGGTTCGGGGGAGAGGAAGGCGCGATTAGAGCAGGCAAGCCGAGCTGGACGGATGTAGCGGGATGAGCCACCGCGTGCAACGGTCGCATGTGCAACGGTCGCATGTGCAACGGTCGCATGTGCAACGGTCGCATGTGCAACGGTCGCATGTGCAACGGTCGCATGTGCAACGGTCGCATGTGCAACGGTCGCATGTGCAACAGTCGCATGTGCAACGGTCGCATGTGCAACGGTTGCATGTGCGTACGGTGTAAATGTGTGTTGCTCCGCTGAAGAGCCGCGCTCCGCGCCGCCCCCACCCGCTCCGCCGCCTGCGCCTCGCCCGCCTTTCCCTCCGCCACGTCCCCTTCCCCTTCCACGCATTCCGCCGCCTCCCTGCCACCCCATCAGCGCGTAGCGAACTCTACGGTCGGCGTTAAAGCCTCAGTCGAACGAATACGTCTACACAGACAGAGGAGTTCAAACGTCACGTCGGCTTGGCACAGTCGTAAATTCTAAAGTACTACGGTCCCGCGAAAGGAAAAGCGCGCATAGATGTCACTGGTGGGAGACCTAAATTCTTGTGTTGAAGCAGGAGCGATAATCCTCAAACCCGCCAAAACCCAGATTATCAATGTGAGTCAAAGCAGAGCGACAGGGGGGGGTCCGTCCGCGTTAAGGGGCTTCGTTAAACAGAAAAGGAAATCGATTTGCTGTTATATTAGTATCACGTCTCAAGAACTTCACATTTCAACTACACTGCTGTCACATCAACCCTCTCGTCATTCCCATCCCGCTGGTCCGCACATTTCACGACAGCCATCACTCCTCGAATCGCGCTCCTCCACCTCCTCGCGCCACATCAACCACGCTCCCCTCTCGCCCTCCCTCGGACGTCTACGAACGCCAGCTCGTTCCGTTCCGTTCCGTTCCGTTCTCGCCCTCCCTCGCACGCGCAGTTCCGTTCCGCACCATTGCCGAATAGCTCTTCTCGCCCCTCCTCTCGCCGCGGGGCCTGAGCGACTCGTGGTTTCTCTGGCGATCGGCTAGCGAACTAAGCGGCTTCTCACTTATCTCCTCGGCATTGCCGCGCAGATCTCGATTCGCGGCGTCTCGAGGCTCCATTGGCCAATCAGAGCTCACCACGCGCTCCGCCTCGATATCTCCGAGGCGTGGCGGAACGATCTTAGGTAACTATTGAGTCGCCTCAATAGTCTATCCGCTCAATAGGTAACTATTGCCAACGCGTCTCGGAGCGATCACAGTCCGCCTGGGCTTCCCTACGCGCGGTCTCTCTTTTAGTGGCGGGACGGGGACGGAAAATCAAAGGAACAGGGAACGGAGAAAGGGACATCGGGGGATGGAAAGGGAAGGTTCCACGGGGAAACCAGAGCGGTTTCACCTGGCGGGGGCGCGGGGGCAATCAGGCGCAGGCGCAGCTGCGCGGGCAGGGGGACAGGAAGGGGCGCGAGGATCACACTCGGGGGCTTGGGCGGGGCAACCGGGGGAGTGGGCGGGGGAGGCGGGGGCGGGGTGGGACGGGGACTGGCTGGGGGAGGCGCGGAGGCGCGCGGGGCCGTGGGAGGGGCGGGCACTGACGGTGGTGAGTCTGTTCGACGGGTGCGGTGCCATCTGGCAGGCGCTGCACGACTGTGGGATTCCGTTTACTGGCGTCAGCTCTGAAATAGTGAGTGGAGAGACGCTGGTTGGTTGCCTTGCTGGGTGCCTTGCTGTGTGTACTGCTATGGTTTCTAGTCGCGCTGAAACGGCAGGCGCTGCATGACTGTGGCATTCCCTTCAATGGCGTCAGCTCTGAAACCGTGAGTGCCTTGCTCCATTGTCTCAGCCTTGTCTCACTCCCCTAGACTTTCTCCCCCTGCCGCTTCCCTAGCCCTCTTTGGTTATCAGCCATTACGATTCACTCATAGTCTCACCCCTCCGTGCGCCCAGGATCCGTTTGCATCCGAGGTGGTGCGGCACAGGTGGCCGGCCGTGCAGCATGTGGGGGATATCACCTCCCTCACTCCTTCTACAATCCACTCCGCCCTCGCTGCCGCTGCTGCTGCTCGTTGTGCCACTGTTGGCGCCACTGCTGCCTCCACTGCCCGCACCAAGGAGGTTCGACCGAGAAAGTGCAAGGAAGCTTCACCGGATGTTCCCGCTGGCGTCCAGGTGGACCTGCTAGTGGGCGGCTTTCCTTGTCAGGACCTGAGCAGCATGAACAGAAACAGGGTGGGGTGAGTGGCAGTGAAAGGAGTGCGAGCGCACAGCAGAAACGTTCCATCTGTTGATCCCGCCCTCTTGTATTGCATGAATGCGCTGCTAGCATGTGTTACCCGTCCCTCCTGCAACCTCGCCATCTTATGTTCCCCCTCTCCTGCAGAACCCTCTACGTCCCGCCCTCACTCATCCTCGCTGCCCTGACCTTTCCTCTCCCTGCCTCTCTCTCCCTGCCTCTCTCTCCCTGCCCTCTCACCCGTTCATCTCCCAGGTTGCACGGCCCGCGCAGTGGCCTCTTCTTCCACCTGCTGCGCCTCATTCAACAGCTCTCGCCCAGATGGTAACCGCCTCTTTCCCATAACGAGTAAACTGCTACCCAGATGGTGACCTCCTCTTTCCCTTGACGAGTAAAGTAAACAGCTATCCAGATGGTGACCTCTGGAATTGCGGCTATGTCTTGGTGAGAGTGCTTGGTAAGATTCACTGCAGTGTATGCATGTCGTTCTGCTCTTGACAGCCCTCGTCTCGGTCCGCTCCGCATTCCCTGTCCACGTCAGCAGCTGGCTGGTTGAGAGAACGTGGCAAGCATGCTGACCTGCATGCTCCCACATGAACACACCCACCTGTGCCCACTCCCCCCCCCCAATCAGGTTCCTAGTGGAGAACGTGGCGAGCATGCAGTGGATGGATCGCGACGAGATCTCCAAGTATCTGGGAGTGCCACCCATCTGCATCGACTGTGCCGACCTCACCGCGCAGGCGCGGCGGAGGCTGTTCTGGACCAACCTGCCGCTGCCAGCTCACATGCCGCCCCTGCGCTGCCACCCGTCCACGCTGCTGCAGAGCAAGCTGTGCGATGCCATTGCGACGGAAGACAAGTGCGGGGTGGGTGGGGGAGGGGGAAAGGTGAATGGGGGTTAGAGGTACTATGCTACCTTTCCTCTGCCTCTACCTATCAGCTGCTTAACCTCTCGTACCCTCTACCTCCTGCCCCCTCCCCATCTCCCCCAGCCAATCATGAAGACCAATTACTGCACAGCCGGCAAGGGCCGCACCAATCAGGTCATCTGCCTGCACGCCCAATCCCACTGCTGCCCCCACCTCACCCTGCAACGTAACCCGCCTGTCCTCTTCTACCCTCTGCTGTATACCCCCTTCCCTCCAGCCAATCATGAAGACGAACTACCGCACGGCCGGCAAGGGCCGCACCAATCAGGTCATCTGCGTGCGCTCCCATGCCGCCCGCTTCTTCCTCTCCCACGAGATCGAGAGAATCTTTGGATTCCCGCCCGAATACACCAAGATCCCCGCCGCCCGGTTCGCTGCTGTCAAGGCGGGGAGGAGAGGGTGGGGAGGGGGGAAAGCAGGGACGGGGAAAGGGCGAGAAATTGGTACCATGAATTGGAAGTATGCTAGGGGTGATTGCTTGAGAAGGGAGGAAAGAGAGGAGGAGAGTGAAGACGTGAGGGAGGTGAAAAGCGGGGGAGGGGTGCGAAGCGGTGGAGGAGTGAAGGGCGAAGAAGGGGCGACGAGTGAAGGAGTAAGGAGGGAGAGGGGAGTGAAGAGTGAAGGAGGAGTGAGGAGGGAGCGAGGGGTAAAGGACTCTGATGCAGCAGCTGGCAGCGGCAGTGGCCCCTCTGTACCACCCCCCTTCTCCCCTGTGAGAGTGCTGGGCAGGGCAGTATTTGATGGGGTGAGGGAGGTGAGAGAGGAGGAGGGAGAGGAAGCGGAGGTGAGGGAGGTTAAGGAAAAGAGGAAGGTGAGGGGGGTTAGGGAGTTGAGGGGGTTGAGGGAGGTGAGTGAAATGGAGGAGGTGAGAGGGATGAGGAAGATTGGTGCATGCATCGCTGGGGAAGGCGAGGGAGGTGCTGAGGGGTTTGATGTGGTGGAAAGAGATGGTGGGAAGTGGGTGTTAGGCATTGAGGCAAAGGCGCGTGGCGGAAAGGGAAGAGGCAAGGGCGGAGAGGGTGGAAGGGGGGTGATGGGGAAGAGGAATGGAGGGGCAAGGGTGGAGAGACGTGGAGGGAAGAGGAGGAGGGTGCAGGAGGAGCGAGATGGAGGAGGGTTGCGAGGGAGTGAGGTTCGGTGTGGTGCGGTGACAAGCGATGCCTATGAGGGTGCTGACGGTGATGAGGTGAAGAGTGGTGGTATTGGGGTACGGAAGCATGATAATGCGGTGGAGAACGGTCATGCCACAGATGATGACGATGATGGTGGTGATGATGATGATGTGGTTGAGGTGGTAGCATCGGTATTAGGGGACAATGGAGGGGAGAAGGATGGAGGCGAGAAGGGTGGCGAGAAGAAGGGCAGAAAGGACGAGGAGGGGGTTGGGTCAAGAGAACACTCTCCTCCTGCTGCTGCTGATGGTGCGTCGGCTGCTGCCCCTGCTTCTGCTGCTGATGTTGCGTCTGCTGCTGCACCTGCTACTGGCGGCAGCACGGGGAGGTCACTGCGAGCGCGCCCAAGGGTTGGATTCTACAGCGAGTCAGAGCTCATGTGCGTGGGAGGTGGTGTGCGTGGGAGGTGGTGTGCGTGGGAGGCTATGTGTTTGTGAAATGGCGTGCGTGGGAGGTGGTGTGGTTTCCCCTTCCTTATCTCACCTCTCTTCGCCTCTCCTCTCCTCTCTTCCTCTCTCCTCTCCTCTCTCCTCTCCTCTTTCCTCCCTCCCTCCCTTCCTCCCTCCCTCGCTCCCTCCTCCACTGTATCACCTCAACACCAGGAGGAGGGGCGTGCAGCAGTGGGCCCAGGAGACACGGCGCAGGCGGAGCGGGGGTGGTGAGAGGGCGAGTGGGAGGGAGAAGGAGGAACAGGCGAGTGCAGGGCAGGAGAGAGGGCAGGAGGAGCTGCAGGAGAGGGACCGATGGGGCCTGCTGGGGAACTCCTTTCCAGTTGAGTGTCTCTGCATTGCTGTCCCTCTGCATGCCTTCCATATAGCCTTCTCCGACTTGCTAAGCCTTTCACAATGTTGCTACCTTCTCCTGCGACCAATCCCCACTCTCACCACTCTATTATTTCCCCCTTGCCCTATCCATTGTCAACCCTCCCTTGCCCCCTTCCCCCCTCGTCCCCCATAGGTGGCAGTGATATCATACCTGCTCACACCATTGCTCTCCCCGTCGCTGCGCCTCTCTGCTCCCCCCTGCGACAGTCTCCTGCTTTCTAAGACCCTCCTTCCACACTCTCCCCCCCGCTTGCACCCAATGCCCCCTCGTCCCCCATAGGTGGCCGTGATATCGTACCTGCTCACACCGCTGCTCTCCCCGTCGCTGCGCCACTCCGCTCCCCCCTGTGCGCTGCCTGCCTGTGTGCCGCCCCATGTCACCCGCGCCAAGTGTGCCCTCATGGTCCCTGGGGAGGTGAGAGCAGTGAGCGTGTGTGGAAGTGAGAGATGAAAGGTAACTAGCTCGGAGTGGTTATGAGAGTACAGGCAAGCAAGGCAAGTTCTTACTAACAATTATTGTTTACTCAGTCGTCGCCACGTGAAACGTTATGGCTCCAGTCTGGGGCTGCATTGAGCAGTGAGCCCCAGAGTGATTCGGATCATGGGGGTGGGAGTGAAGGATGAAGGGTAACCACCTCGGAGTGGTTAGGTCATTGGGCGGTGCGATCACCGCGCAGCTCGGTTGATGCTCAATCCAGGCAACATGGATCCATCTCCCCCACACTGCACTCGTCACTCTCACACTGTCCGCGCCTTATTGTGCGGTGCCCATCCCACCCAACCCCTCCCCACCGCACTGCACCAGGTATGGGCGGCGTACAGCTGGAGCAAGCTGCCCAATTGGTACGCACTGATCCTCTCCGTTGAGGGCGGCAGATTCGATGCCGAGTCGCTTCGCAAGCCGGCACCACTCTGCATCACCTAGTAAGCCCTTATCCGTGTGGGGACCCCTTTGATCCGTGACGTTGATCCCACACCTTGATTCAATTGACCACCTTGATCCGTGACGTTCCCACACCCCTTTGTCTCCACCCTCCCACATGCCTTCCCCCCCACCCACCCAGTCGGTACTTCTATCTCGTGGATGCTCAATCAGCTGGGCACCCTGCACATGGGAAGCGGGAAGAGAGGGAAGAGAGTGAGAGTGCTGACGAGGGGGAAGAGGAAGAGGGAGAGGAGGATGAGGATGAGGAGGGGGAGGACTACAGAGGCGAGGAGGAGGACGAGCACACGTGGCATGGAGCGGGGCTGTATGAGATGGAGCAGGAGACTCACACCGCCACCAGCCTCACTGTCTTCAGCCACAGGTAATGTCTCTCTCTGCTCTCCTACCATCTCTCTGCCCTCCTACCATCTCTCTGCCCTCCTACCATCTCTCTGCCCTCCTACCATCTCTCTGCCCTCCTACCATCTCTCTGCCCTCCTACCATCTCTCTGCCCTCCTACCATCTCTCTGCCCTCCTACCATCTCTCTGCCCTCCTACCATCTCTCTGCCCTCCTACCATCTCTCTGCCCTCCTACCATCTCTCTGCCCTCCTACCATCTCTCTGCCCTCCTACCATCTCTCTGCTCGTGTGCCGTCTCTGCTGTCCTTGTGCATGCCATCATCTTCATCATGCACGCACATCCCCATCATCCCCATATCGACCATCACCCCCATCAGGGTGCGGAGGGTGCGCAGGGTAGCGGGCGGGGCGGGCAGGAGTGTGCATGCGGTGTATCCCCAGCCAGGCACCGTCTTGGGGCTCTCAAACGGCCCTTCAAACGCCACTCTCATCCCCATCATTCCTATCACCCCCATCAGGGTGCGGAGGGTGCGCAGGGTAGCGGGCGGGCCAGGCAGGAGTGTGCATGCGGTGTATCCGCAGCCAGGCACTGTGTGGGCACTCAAGTGGCCCTTCAAACGCGACTTCTCCCTCGTTGTCAGTGCTGCTGCACTGCACTGCACTGGACCGCACCGCACCGCACTGCACTGCACTGCACGTCATTGCATCCTTTTTTCAGATTCTGCCGTGTCAGCCGTTCTTTGCTTCTGCGAGCACACGACTGCCTTGTGCATGCTAATGTGCTGCTGTGCTCCAGTTTTATTTTCCCTCTCTTATCCTCTTAACTCTCTCCCCTCACCTCATTTTATCCTTGTCTGTTTCTGTCTCGTCCTCCCTCCCTCTCCCCCACCCATCCTGCTCCATACTCCGCCATGCACACAGTACGTGGTAACCAGCAGCATCGAGTTCAACCCTCCCAGCCTCTCCTCCCCATCCTCCTCCCACCCCTCCCCCGCCACATCCTCCACTCTCCAACCCTCTCCCGCCTCCCCCACCCGAGCCTCTCCCGCCTCCCCCACCGCGCCCCGAGCCTCCATCCGAGCCTTCAGTGCGACGGTGCGGGCGCTGGTGCGGCGGCGCAGTGTGAAGGTGGGGGTGGGCATGGATCCGCTGTGGGGAGTGCACGAGCACGAGTGGCAGGTGCACGACCTCTCTGCTTTCGCCTTTGAGGCGCCCTTTCATTACCACAGTGATCGCCACACCCTCGTGGTGGAGCCACAGACACACAAGGAACCCGAGTAATGGTGGTTACCGCGTTCTCAGGGGGCTTCAAATGGTTTAATAAGTGGGGGAAGGGTGGGGAGCACATGGTGGATCCGCTGTGGGGGGTGCACGAGCACGAGTGGCAGGTGCACGACCTCTCTGCCTTTGCCTTTGAGGCGCCCTTTCATTACCACAGCGACCGCCACACCCTCGTGGTGGAGCCACAGACCCACAAGGAGCCTGAGTAATGGTAGTGACTGACTGCGTTCTCAGGGGCCTTCAAATGGGTGTGAAAGTAGAGGGGAAGGCATGGTGGATCCGCTGTGGGGCGTGTACGAGTGTGAGTGGCACCTCTCTGCCTTTGCCTTTGAGGCTCAACTCCACTTCCACGGTGACTGTCAGGAGTGACTGTCAGGTGAAGGAGCCCGAGTGAAGTGACTGTCAGGTGCCTCGTCAGGTGCCTGTAAGGAGCAAGGGAAACTAACCACAGCATCACCATTGTAGTAGCCGCATCACTAACAGGGTGGATGGTTGAATTATTGTATTATTGTATTGATTTATCTAGTTCTTGTGCCCCAAGACGGATTTGGTGGAGTGACAGAACCAGGAGGACAGATGTAGAATAGATGGCCACCCATACATTCAGTGACTTGTAGCTCACTCTAATTGGGATGAACATGTGTGAAGACTGAAGGAAAGGGCAAATCGTTATTCTGGCATTGACCCATGCCATTGACACATGCCATATTGACCCATGCCACGTTGAACCATGCCGCATTGACCCATGCCGCATTGACCCATGCCGCATTGACCCATGCACCATTGACCCATGCACCATTGACCCATGCACCATTGACCCATGCACCATTGACCCATGCCGCATTGACCCATGCACCATTGACCCATGCACCATTGACCCATGCACCATTGACCCATGCTTCTCACCCCCTTCCCAGCTTCCTCACCACCCCCTCTACCTCCTCCCACCTCATCCCCTCCGCAGCACTCCGCACACCCATCTGCATGACCCCCATCCCCGCCCACACGCCATCCAGTCTCCTCGCCGCCTCCTCCCCCACCACCACCGCAAAAACACTATCAAACCCCCCTGCGCCCGGCACACCCGCCATCACCACCCCTGGCTGCTGCATGGTGGCGTCAAGAAGGGCGGTCTGCTGAGGGGGTTCGATGGGTGTGGCAGCAGCAGAGCCCATGGCAGAGAGCAGGTGGCGCACTGAGAGGAAGGAGGACCGCAGGGTGAGGAGGGCGCATAGGATGGTATTCGAGATGTTGCCTCCTTGCTGCTCTTGGTTCTTTTGAGATTCTTGTTGTTCCTGTGGTTGCTGTGGTTGCTGTGGCGCGTGTGGTTTGACGGTGCTGCTTGTATGGCTGATGTCGCTGCCACCATGTCCCAGTGTGCCTGCTTTCGACTGTTGAGTAGACTCCGTAGTTGCCTCAACCTGAGCCAGGAGATCCCCCGCTGCCTCATTGGAGGCACACAAGGGGTTCACCTGGGTTGCAGCAGCAGAAGGCGCCACTGGGGTTGCTGCAGTGAGAGGCACGTGCTGCAGGCGGTTCAGAGTGGTGGAGAAGGCGTCTGGATGGGTGCGAGCGAGCAGGGACAGGTGAGAGAGAGCAGCAGCAACTGCCGCATTGGCCTTCTTCAGGCCATTCCAAATGGGCTCTGCTTCATCTGGTGACTGCTTCCTCCACCTGTGGGGAGGGGGTGGGAAAGAAGAGAGGAAGATATGATTTCATGGGGTCAGGGAAACGGAGGGACTGCTAAAGCAACGAACTGCAGCGCGGTATGGGCGATGGCATGATGGCATGCTGGTAAGGAAGCATGATCTACCTGTGGGTTGATGGAATGATGGGTGTTAACCTGAAAGTACTGCTGCCTGAATACGCCCGTAGCAATGCAATATCCACAAAGAACGATCAAACTATGCTCAATTCTGGCCGCGCTCACACTCACTTGATGACAGCAGAAAGCATGGAGGGTGTGGCGGTGCCCCCTGTGCCTGGCTCGCCTAGTACCTACCATGCAGAATCACCGAGTGAAGAAGAAAGAAGGTAGTGAGAGGGGAATAAAGAAGGTAGTGAGAGGAGAATAAAGAGATGCTCATGTAGTATGGACGAGTTAGAGTGGGAGAATGGGATAGTAGAATGAGAGACTGTTAGAATGGGGAGAAGGGAGAGTGGGAGGGAAGCATACCAGGAGAAGGCCTGGTGGGAGGTGCAGGGGAGCGATGGTGTGATCCCACAGAGGAGACCGCAGCGTGGCTGATATGCTGCTAACTGTCATTGCCGCCTCTGCTCCCTGCCACAATCCCAAAGTTCACAGGACAGGAGAAAACATGGGTCAGGTCGGAATGCCACTCAACTGCATACGCTATACCTGTAGCTGCTCCCTCGATCCCTCCCATCATGGAACACCCACCCATCGTGCAAGCACCCACCATGAGGGCGTGCATGACGGCGGGGTTGAAGCGCTGGTAGCACATGGACCCAAACACGCCGGCTGCCACATCAAACCCACTGCCCGCCTTGCCCTGCGCCAGGCAATGCGCCACCTGCGCCACCCTATGCACCACCTCCTCCCTCCCCACCATCCCCCCTCTCCCCACCGCCTCCTCTTGACAGCTCTCCTGCGCTCCACTCCCCATCGCCCGCTCCTGACATCCCTCATCAGCAGCGCCACTCCCTGGTGTCTCCAGCACGCGGAAGAAGCGCAGCAGAGCAGCGGAGACAGCAGCAGTCATGGCAGCAGAGGAGCCCAGCCCTGTCTTCGCCACCTCTGGCACGTGGCCCCTCGTGGACTCTGGTGGTGCTGCTGCGTCTGGGGCTGCTGCTGTGACCAGGGGTGTTGATGTTGCTGGGGCTGCTGAAGGGTGGTTGCTGACGATGGGGGCGAAGGGGGGGATGCGGGCGAGGGAGGACGCAGAGAGCGGCAGACCCATCCGTTGCAGCTGCACACACACAGAGGGGTGTGCATGGGGGGTTGTGCATGGAGGAAGGAACATGCATGGGGAATGGGGAAATGTGTGTTCGGCATGGGGGAACGTGTATAGGGGAATGTGCATGGGGGAATGTGCATGGGGGAATGTGCATGGGGGAATGTGCATGGGGGAATGTGCATGGGGGAATGTGCATGGGGGAATGTGCATGGGGGAATGTGCATGGGGGAATGTGCATGGGGGAATGTGCATGGGGGAATGTGCATGGGGGAATGTGCATGGGGGAATGTGCATGGGGGAATGTGCATGGGGGAATGTGCATGGGGGAATGTGCATGGAGGGGCAGCGCACAGTGTGGCGGTGCGAATAAAAGTCGTTGTCTCCTGCAATGGTGATGCGCACTCCTGAACTCGCCAACTTCTCCCTCAGCCGCCGCTTGTCCGTTGCTGCGTCCCCCGCTCTTCCGCGTGTCTCCCCCAGGGCAGCTCCCACGGCCACCTGAACCACCCTTTCCACGTACGGGTTGCCTGAAACCTTCTGTGCGCTGCCTTCCTCGGCCTGACCTTTCTGTCCGGTGCATGCATTCGCACATGCGTCACCTTCCCTGCACGGACATTAAGGGAGCATGGACATTTGGAACGTAGCGCCAAGCACAATGTGTCAACAGTGCCAAGTGACAAGCACGAGCTAGTCGATATTCCACTGAACCGCGACCAAGCGATATTCACCTGCGATTGCTGGTTGCGAGATTTGCAAGGGACAGGTCGAAACAATAGCAGCTGCCTCGTTGAGGCGAATCCACGCAAACGGTCATCAGGCTCTCTCTGCCCACACCTGCTGATTCCGCTGTTTCCGTAACCTGCTTCTCCCTCTCGGCGATTAGCGGCTGCGCAATGGCGTAGAAGCGCGCGTTCGTGGCGAGTACGAGGCCTTGATTAGGAGGCTCTACAACGAGGTACGCTCCCACTAAGAGCACCTTGCCTGGAGCCGAGGCGGCTACAGCTGAATCCAACGCCATTGTACTCGCACTGCCTGACTCAATGGCCTTCTCAGTCAATGCGAGAAAGAAATTACGTACGGTAACACGGAATGCTCCCCCGCAATGCCTAGAGACATCTCCCGTCTGATCGTGTCGGTGGAACGAATGACGTATTGAGCGCTGTGATGAAACCGCAGAACAACCTGTGCTTAGTCTTTTCGCAAGTGAGCTGTTCCGATTAGGTGGAATACGGAATGTAGAATACCGAAATGTCCCTGAACCTAGATTACTCGCAGGGTTGAACTAGTATTTGAGTAATTATGGCTTGTTGCTACAGATAAACAATGATATGGCATGTGAGACTCATAACCACTACGGCTGGTGTGGAATGTGGGGTCCAATTGAACAGACCACCTAGCTACAGCTTGAGAGCAATGGCAAGTCCAACCTTGCCTGACTTGTCAAGAGCCTTGGAGTCAACCTCTCCTGCAATGGTGACCTTAGACTTGGGCCGGAACTCGTGCTGGAGGAGAGCAGCAACTGTGCCACGGTTGTTGAACCTGAGCTTGGCCTCTGTGAGGGGATCAAGCTCGAAGGAAGCACCTGCTGTGAAAGTTGTGTCGCTTTTGGAGAGTTTGTGCGCTGCCTCAACAGCAACCTCAACGTCCTTCTTCACCTTCTGGAAATAGGCAGCCTTCAACGTGTCCAGCTTGTCAGCACTGCAGAACAAGAAAGCATTGCAGGTTTTGTCAGCCACTGTTATGGTGAAGTCATGGGAAACAAGAGGGTAAAGACAGGCTTACATCAGCAAGGAAGCAGAGAAGTCGGATTCGGAGTAAGCCACGCCAAGGTTGTACTTGGTCGCGCTGTTAGTGGCAGTGTCGTAGCCAAGCTCAGCACCAACAACCACACCCTTGGTTCCGACGGCAAGAGCACCCTCGAAAACGGGTTGTGTAACAAGACCGACGGTGGCATTCACGTGTAGCAACTCTTGCTTGTAGGTCAGCTCTGCCTGCAAAACCCCGAGGTACTCATGTCATGCAACATTCTACGAATGGATCGCGACACCAAATGAAGTTCGAAACATTCCGCGCGGCGAATCATGAGTACTGATCGGGGTTCACCCACTTACCTTGGTGGCCTTCGAATCCGGAACGATTCCAGTTAGGGCAAGCTTCAGACCAGGAGCAAGATCCTCGTAAACGGCCTTGAAATAAAGCTGAAACACAGGAAGAACACATTTCCAAATCAGACTCTCAACCCGTATCTCCTTCAAAGGCACATTATATTCTTAGAGCGCACTCTCGCCAGTACATACCTTGGACTTCGTATCAAGCTTGAACTCGGCCTCAACGTTTCCAACCTCGACCTCGGTCTTCACATCGCACGACACCTCGTCTCCCTTCTTCACTGATGCGGTTTGAAACTTCTGCATTTTCAAATAAAGGGAACATCAGCACTACTGGATCTCATCCTGGCTCAAGTTTAGCTGTATCTGATGAACTTACCACGCCCGAATCAGTCTTTGTGGAGATGTTGATGCTGTGATCGTAAGCGTAATGCTTGAAAAGCAGCTCTGTTCAAGATCCATAAATGCTCGATCAGAACGCACATACGACGTGCTGAAGTAACGACTACATAGTAACTATCGAGACAAACGGTCTTACCCTTGGCCTTCTTGCCAATGTCTGAGAAGGAACCAGGACCCTTTCCCATGGCGGTCGACGCGAGTGACGAGGAAAGAAGAGATTATTGCTAGGGTTCGGCACAAGAAGCACGAACACTAGGGAGGAGAGGAGGATTTGCTGGTTCGCTGAACCAAAATGAAACTCCGATGCTGGAAATTAGAGAAGACGTGGAGGGGGAGGAAAAACGAATCAGGCAACGTGGCGGAGATATTGATGGGGGAAGATGCTGGCTTCCCTTCAGTAAAATCACACAAAAATCGTGGTCCCCTTGGTCAACCCTGAACAGGCCGCACAGGAATCGCAATCATTTTTTCTTTTACAGAAATCAGTTGGTGTTTTATTTTGAAACTCTGAAGAGAGGTTGTCGCGAAACGCATCCGCGTGCAGAGTGGTGATTAGTGGCAGTCTTCCAGATACAAGGCTGTCAGAGCTCTTGTGGTGGGAGGAATCTTTGGTTTTGGGATCCATTATCACCAGTCACGCTGCGTGTTGTTGACACAGGTTCCCTTGGTGCCTGTCTAGGTTGTCCTGCAAGGGACCTTACGCCTTCATCTCCAGAGATTTGCGTGTTTCAATCGTCTTAGTAACTCGAGCAGAGCGTTCTGTCTTCATAATGCTGCAGGTTTTATACTGCTATCCTCGTTATGCCAGGCTCGTTAAACTTTCATCCATGGGACAGCTTAGACTCTGCCACGTACATGCACTGTGATCGGATGCTTGGACTCGCGCATACATCAAATCCTAGGTCGCCGTTCATAATCAGTAGCTCCTCGCCGCCACTTCCTACAATTCCTGAATTAGATGGAGTGCAATAGAGAAGACGCGGCGAAGGCTAAGGAGCTAGCCGAAGCGGCTCTTTCAAGCGGCGATTACGCCAGGGCTCGTCGACTAGTAACGAAAGCACAATCCCTCTTTCCCAATCTCGACGGGCTCACGCAGGTCTGCGCCGTGGTCGAAGTTCACGAAGCTTCGCTGAACCGCGTGGGGGGTGACGTTGACTGGTACGCGCTTCTCCAAATCCCCGCATTCTGCGATGACGACAGTCAGATCAAGAAGGCTTACCGTCGCCTGGCGCTGCTGCTGCATCCGGACAAGAACAAGACCAGCGGAGCAGAAGCGGCGTTCAAGCTGCTATCCGAGGCGTTCACGGTGGTATCAGACAAGCAGAAGAAGGCCGTGCACGACGCCAAGCGACGAATGAACGCAACCACAGGCCGAGCAGGAGCAGCAGCCGGCGCTAAGGCCTCGAGGAGTCAACAAAAGGCTCCAGCAGCAGCGAAGCCCCCGCCTGCAGCGCCAGCAGCAGGAGGTGCGGGGGGACAGGGAGCGGGGAATCAATTCGAGACGCGGTGTCCGACGTGCGGGACGCGGTTCTTGTGCTTGAAGGACGCCATGGCGACCGTTGTACAGTGCATCATCTGCAAGAGCTCGTTCAAGGCTGTTCCTGTCACCGCGTCTGCCTCTAACGCGTCCGCTGCTGGCAATGCAGCTGGTAAACAAAACGGCAGCGTGCCTCAGGCAGCAGCACAGGCACATGCGCAAGCACACGCACAGGCACATGCACAGGCAGTAAGGCAGGCACAGGCACAAGCACAGCAGGCACAGGCACAGGCACAACAGGCACAAGCACAAGCACAGGCACATGCGAGGGGCGTACCTCAACGGCCTAACTTCATGCCCAACGGCGGAATGCAGTACGGCATGCCAGCGTCCTACAGCAATGCGCATTCCTCTGCCAGCGCTGCTGCCGCCATGGCAGCTGCTGCAGCCGCGCAGGCCGCTGCTGTCGCGGAATCCCTGAGGGGCGCAAGGGGAGGCGCCGCTGCTGCTGCTGCAGCGGCCGGGGACGCTGCTGCTGCCGCTGCTGCGGCCGCTGCTGCGATTGCAGGGCAGTTTGGAGGAATGGGGACTGGGGGGGGGTTTCCTGGTGCTGCTAACTTTGCACAGTTCTCGTTTTCGGCGGATGGTGCCGGGGTGTATGGCAGCCAACAGTGGCAACAGCAACAACAACAACAACAACAACAACAGCAGCGGCTTCAGCAGCAGCAGGAGCAATTGCGGCGACAACAGCAGCTGCAGCAGCAGCACTTGGAGGAACAGCGGCGGCTGCAGGAAGCACAGAGGCGGATGCAGCACCAGCAGCAGGAGGAACATCGGCGGCAGCAGCAGCTGCAGCAGGAAACGCAACGGAGGCAGCAGCAGCTGCAGCGGGAGCAGCTTGAGAAGGTGCGAGCAGCAATGGGGGCAGGTGCAGCAGGGGTGGGTAACCAGCAGTTTGGTCAGACAGGGAGCGTGGAGGAGGCGCTGAGGGCTAGAGCGGAGGAGGAGAGAGTGCAGAGGGATAGAGTGGCGGGGGAGGTGCAGCAGGAGCAGGCGAAGGCGCAGGTGAGGCGGCAGATGCAGATGGACGAGTTGCTGGAGCGCAGACGACAACAGCAGGCGAAATTCGCCGCTGCTGTTGCTGCTGGAGCTGGAGCTTCTGGTGCTGGTAATGGTGCTGCAGGTGCTCAGGCAGCAGCAGGAGTTGGAGAGAGTGAGAGGGGTGGTGGGAAGCAAGCAGGGCGGAGGAACAGGCTGCGGAAGAGGAAGCAGGGAGGAAAGGGGGGAGGGGATAGCAGTGATGACGATGAAGAGTATGACTTTCGAATGGACGCTGACAGTGATGATGTCGACGCTGCTCGTGGTGCTGGTGGTGGAGGAGGAAATAGGGACCCCTTGCAGGGGGGTTACGAGGGGTGGCAAGCAGGCATGGGGCAGGCACATGGAGAGGGCGGAGGGATGGGGGAGGATGTGGAGATGGTGGGGGGTGGTACGAGGCGGTCGGCGCGCAGCAGGAAGCCGGTGGTATACCACCTGGATGATGATGATGATGATGACGTCATGGAGGTGACCGCGGCTGAGGCGGGCATGAAAGGGGTTAATGGGACGGGCGCAGGGGGTGGCGGTCAGCCCAGGAGACCCAGGGATGATCAAAACGCATTTGTGGGGGCTGATGCGAGCAAGGGATCTGGGCCTGATGCTACACATGGGATGGCCAGAAACGTCTCAGGGAGGGTGCAAGGAGAGGGGAATTCCATGGATGTGCCTATGGATGACAACCCAGGGGTGTCAAGCCACGCGGCAGGGAAGGAAGAGGGGAGGAGTGGTGAAAGGCGAGGGGAGGGCCGTGGCAGCAGCAGTGGTGGGAAGAAGAGTGGTGATGGGAAGAGGAATGGGTTTATGCATGAGGGGGAGGTGGTGGAGCTCTTCTCGTCTGATGAAGAGGAAGAGAAGAGCGAGGAGGAGGGCAATGAGGAGGAGGAGGAGGAAGTGGTGCGCTTCTCTGTTCCCGATCCCGACTTCCACTGCTTCGATGATGATCGCACGGAGGAAACATTTCGAACAGGCGATGTAGGTTCTGTTCTGTTTCACATGCCACACACAGCATGTAGCATGCACGTGCATAATGCATCCCTTTCCGTCAGCTCCTTACCTGGTTTTTGAGCTCATCAGAATCCACGCCTCACCGTCTTTTCTGCTCCCGTTTGTTCTCTCCTCTACCCCAACAGGTGTGGACCCTGTATGATGACTCTGACGGCTTTCCCCGCTTCCTCTGCACCATCCGCCAAGTGTCTCACGCGCCCTTCTCCTGCACTATAGTCTGGCTCGAGGCCGCCGCACTCTCCAAGAAGCGCACTGCTGCCGCTGCTACCATCACTCCGACCGAGGCAGCAGCTGCTCTGGCCGACCCAGCAGAACGAGCAGAGCCCAGCATCGGATACTTCAAATTCGGCAAACCAACAACGTTCGACTCTGTTAACATCTTCTCTTTTCGGATTTCCAAGCTGGCTTCCCCAAACGCACGCACGGCTACGGTTTTGCCGGAGATAGGGCAGGTGTGGGCGCTGTATGCAGAAAAGTCATTTGCCAGGCGGAGGTACTATCTGGTGGAGGTGATACCTGCTGAATCGTCCATACCGCTGCCGAGTGACCCGACAGCAGCATCGGCAGCAGCAGCAGGAGTGCAGGGGCTTACAACGCTGGGGTGGAGGGCTGTGTGGTTCCTGGAGAGAGTCCCTGGTGAAGTGTTCAGCTCACTATTTCAGGTGTGTTTGCATGGGCCTGTGAATGCATATGTGCATGGGGTATGCTAGCAAGTGTGCATGGGACATGCATGTGGCTATGGTATTGAGATCGCTGTCCAACTTTGCATGCAGTGTCGCTGTGTCCTTCGCTCTCTTAGCGCCTGTCCCTTGGCCACTGCCAACTCATTTCTCCCCATCTCCTTTTCCCTCCACAACAGAGAATTCCTGGCGGCACACGGTTTGTTCGCCTCAACAGTTTATCACACCTCGTTCCAAGCTTCCACTTACAAGGCAATGAGAGCAGCCCTAAAAGATTACCCCCTCCTCCTCGTGGTGCTCTAGAGCTGGATCCTGCTGCCACCCCCTCAAATCTTGCGCCATTTCCTCCTACAGTAGAATTGTGATGATAGATTGTGTACGCAGCGTGAAGCAGTGAAGCTTATGTACGGGATCGCGAAGGGTCCAACAGAAGTCCTCAGTTGCAACATGCAGGTTGCTCATCTTGGCAACCTCTTTCAGTGCATATGATATAAAACCGCAGATTGCCGATCACTCGTATAAATTTAAAAATACCAGGCTCGTACATGTTGCACACAAATAGACATACCACCCACTTCAGTCTCCCACCATTTTGTGTAAGTACTGTATTTGAATGTATATGGGTGGTGAACAACATTATGAGTGTACGTGTTCAGATGATTTCGACATGGTTATTTACACCCAATCTCGGGGTCACGGCCTCGAGCATGTCTGGAAAGCCGAGCCGCTTGGCTCGAAAATCTCGAGAAAAGGCGCCCCCTGCTGCTCTCAGCAGGTTGTCAGGTAGGAGTCAGTCAGCCTGATAAACTTACACTAGACTGACACCCCTGTCGCCATTTCTCTGACAGCCGCCGATTACGTTGTCTACTTGAGTGGCGATCGCACCGCTTTTTTCACTAAGGCTGCTCTAGTCCGCATGTACTTAAATCGTAATCCACGAAAGCTAGTGCTCACACTCTCAGTTGCTCCGGATCTGTGATAACGTCTCACTGACGCCATCCTCTAATACCATCCTCTCGCCTACACTCTTACCATTCATGGCTCCGATCAACACTCCGTCGAACATGGCGATTGTTCCGTGCACCACAAGTCCGAAAAACAAGTTCGGGAGGGGCTTCAGGTATTACATTCCACTGCATCCGCCATGAGTTCCGTCCTCCTCTGGAGGATCCTCCAAGCCTGCTAAGCCTTACATTTGCCCGCTGCTGTTTTCAGGGAATACGACGAGGAAAACGAGAGGAACACGATGGTCGAGAACGTCTACCACATTAACCATTCCAAGCAGACCTTGGGATTTGTAAGTCTGGATGCATTCTCAGCTTTGTCCTTCAAAGTGTTGCACGTTATAAAGTGTACTGATTGTTTATAAGTCTTCTGACGTGAATTCAGGTGCTCGCAATGAAGGAACGGCATCTGAAGCTCGACAAGGCCGAGATGAGCGTGTGGGAAGCCGCGGAGCTGCTAAACGAGCTCGTGGACGACAGCGATCCCGATTTGGATATGGCGCAGATCGAGCATGCACTACAGGCAGCGGAGGCGATCAGACGGGACCACCCGAGCGAGGAAGAAGACTGGTACCCACTCGTTGGGTTCCTTCATGGTAATCTCTTAAAAAACGTTTGCACTTTCTGCTAGATTGGTGCACATTTGATAGCCAATTTGACATATTCTTACTGTTTCTGCTTCAGATATGGGGAAGGTTCTCCTGCATCCGAAGTTCGGCAGCGAACCCCAGTGGGCAGTTGTTGGTAAGTCATGCCGTGTTGGGTGCAGCAAGTTTCGCTGATGCTTGCTTACTAAAAGATTCTTGTGGGTCTACTGCAGGTGATACGTTTCCTGTTGGCTGTCGGTTTAGCAACAAGATCGTCCACTCAAAGGTTGGAGCGTCTGAATTTCTACTTGTCTTGGCTAAAAAATTTGCGACCATATCCTTTGAACCTGACGTTCTGTTCGTTTTCCCTCCTGCAGTTCTTCAACAGCAATCCAGACTCGTCGGTAGAAGACCTGAGCACAGAGTGTGGTATTTATGAGGAAGGCTGCGGAATGGACAAGGTCCACATATCCTGGGGCCATGACGAGTATATGTGAGTGACAATTGCACCTTTGTTACAGAGCGCGGTGTTCATTTAATCCCTCAACTAAACCATCTTTGGTTATTCTCCTGCAGGTATCAAGTCCTTGTCCAAAACGGCTGCAGCATTCCACCCCAAGGCCTGTACATGATCCGCTACCACTCATTCTATGGTGAGTACAAGAGAGCGGGAATGTGCGGTGATGCTGTTATTTGGTGGTGACATTTCAGTTCTGACCTACCGTATCATGGACGCAGCTCTGCACAGGGATGAGGAGTATCAACACCTGATGGACGACTTTGATCGGGAGATGCTTCCATGGCTCAAGGACTTCAAGTAAGAGCACTTCACTCGCTTACCTGCATCACTGGTGCTCATCTGTGTGCACATTTTGAGGTCTAAAACTATGCCTTGAACTTGTCCCCCCCTACAGCCAGTACGACCTCTACAGCAAGAGTGCACAGCGCTTGGATATGGAGGAGCTCAAGCCCTATTATCAAAGGCTCATTGCCAGGGTACACATTGATGTTATTTCTTGCCATTGCTGCATGTTGCCTCAATTTTCCAAACTAATCTTACTGTATCTGTACTAATCTGGTCTCTGTCACATTGCAGTACATCCCTAAGGCAACTCTCAAGTGGTGAAGCAAGCAAGTGCAGTAGCTACGTAGTTTACGGGGTCCAAGCTTCCCTCAGTAGCGCAGAGGGATCTCCTTAGGTATTTAGTGTGCACGCCTAGGAGAAAGCTTTTGACTGTTTTGAAGCAAGAATCATTATGGAAGTCAGCAATGGTACCTTATGTTTACATCATCAGCAAGTCAACAGAGCAGAGCAGAGACATAAACTGAAAGACATGACAACCAAGCAGCTGAAAGCAGTGGTGACACATGCCATGCTCCAAGGCAGGTCTCTGGCCATCTGTTCCAATGCACATACCTCAATCCATCTGCCATGCCATCCCCCACATCCATAGACAGAATCCCAGACAGACCATGCCAGCAGCACAAACCACAGGACAACCAGGGCAGACAGGAGAACATGGTCCATCCCAGCAGCCAACTGTGTGCCAATGAGAAGGCAAGCTAGCAGCATATGAAGGCATCCCATCCCATGCTTGCAGCGAAATAGCATCACAAAGCAGGACAAGCCGACCAGAGCTCTTCAGCCAGAGAAGACAGAAGGACAGATCGCATGAGCTGCCTTGCCTTGTGCGGTTTAATGGCTGGCTGGCTGGCTGGCTGGCTGATGCTCGATTGGATGCACGGTCCATGATGGAGTCTGGACGGATCCTCCACATGAAAGGTGTTAAGCTGCCTGTGCTGGTATGTTGATCTGAAGGTCAAGAGTGGCCTGCACTGGCTGACACTTCAGAAAAGTGATGCGCATTTCATGCACACGTGCTCAGGCATGACATCAACATTCGTGACATTAATGCACATTCATGCGCATTGATGTAAATTCATGACCATTGATGCACACTCACGCTTGGCGCACATTCATGCACATGAATGATCAGCCATGCACATTGAGCACACTCATGCACATCAATGCACAGCCATGGAAATGCATAGTCATGCACATTCATGCAAACCAGCATGACCCATGCTATGAAAAAACAAATCCAATCTGTGCCACTCCCACACAATCCACGGGCTCCAAACAAGCCCATTGCCAAGCCGCCTCCTCCCAAACGCCATCAAGGGAAGAGTTCAGCGTGAGGCTTGAAGAAATAGCAGATAGACTTTGGAACGCGTTGCAGCAGCAGCAGTAGTTGCGGGGCCAGCAGCAGTTGCAGACACAGCAGCAGTAGCAGAAAAAGAGTGGAGGCGAAAAACTAAAAGGTTCTTGTAAAGGAGTGGTGCCAGATGGTTCTAAGGAAGAGCAAGCTCCAACTGAGACAGGTAACAAATCACGCAGCCCAGGCGAGAGCCACATCAGTCGCTGCGAGAAGGAGAGTCGTCATTGGAGGCCGGGCGACGACTGTCCTTGCCACGGGCAGGAGAGACGGAAGGCGAGCGACGCCTGCAGTACAACAGATTTAGAAGAAACAAATGTTACGGCCAAACATATCGTATGCTCCAAAAGAACAGTACAAGGAGAAGGAGAAGGTTCAGAAGTTTTGGAACACGGGTAAAGCACAAACAGACCTGGAGCGGTGGCTGCGGCTGTGGTGCTTCTTATCCCTAGAAGATCGCCCCTTCTCCTCATCGGACTCGTCTCGCCCAGACCTCTTCCTGCTGCTCCGCCTTCCACCCTTCTCCTCCTCCTCCTCATCATCAGACCCTCTCTCCTTCCGCCTTCCCCCACGACTGCCCTCCTTTCTGTCCTTATCATCCCTCTCCTCCTCATCAGACGACTTCTTTCCCCCTTCCTCATCGTCCTCCTCTTCGTCACGGTGGCTGCGCCTCCGCTTGTGGCTCTTCTTACTCCTCCTGCTGCGCCGGTGACGCCGCTCCTCCTCGTCCTCATCACTCTCCTCGTCATCATCCCTGACCAAAAGGCAGGGCAAAAAGCACGAGGATAAAGAAGCATCAGCTACCTCACTCAACTCAACATGAGACATGACCAGTCGCAAAAACAATGCCTTCAAGGCAACAACAGCTTACACAAGCCATTTCAGCCCCCTACCATCTGCAAAACCCCCATTTCCCAACAATGTCTCACGCTTCCGACTCACCGGTTCTTCCTCCGGCGGTGCTTCCTCTTCTTCTCCTTGTGCCGCTCACTCTCCTTCCTCCTGCTCCTCCTCTCCTTCTCCTCCTCAACCTCCTCCTCCTCCTCCTCGCCTCCCTTCTTCCTTGCTGCTTCATCCTCTGATACTCCTTTGCTCCCATTCTCAATCACCTTCTCCTCTTCACTCTCATCCCTCTCCTTCTCCTTCTCTTTCTCCCTCTCATCCTCTTTCTCCTTCTCCTTCTCTTTCTCCTTCTCTTCCTCGCTCTCATCAACGCCCTTCTTCCTCTCAACTTCCTGTTCATCTTCGCTCTCATCCCTTTCTTTCTCCCTTTCCTTCTCCTCTTCACTCTCATCCCTCCCCTTTCCCTTCTCCTCCTCATCAACCTCCATCGCCTTGACCCTCTCTCCTTCACCCTCACTCTCTCCCCCACCCTCACTACCCTTACCCTTATCACTCTCCTCACTCCCTGAACGCTGTGACCTCGCTGCAACCTTCTCCTTCTCCTCGCTTTCCTCATCCTCTTTTTCACTTCCCTCACGCCTCTCCTCGCTCCCACTGCGCCTCTCCTCCTCCTCTTCGTCCTCCTCCACTCTTTTCTTCTTCACCCTCTCTCCCTCCCCTTCGGAACGATCACTATCCTCCTCTTCCTCCTCCTTTTTACCCCGCCGACCTTCCCCATCCGAACGGTCACTCTCTTCCTCCTCGTCCCGCTCGACCTTCTTCTCCTTCCTCTCCTCATCCTCGTCCTCCTCTTCCTCTTCGTCTTCCTTCGCGCCTCTCCGCCTCTCCGCCTCGCGCCTCTGCCTCTCCAGCTTGTCCCGAAGCAGCTTCTCTCGCAGCTCCTTCTCCCGCCGCTCCGCCTCCTTCCGCCCACCCCTCCCCTTCCCCCTCTCCTCCTCCTCATCTTCCTCCTCCTCATCCTCACTCTCATCCCTCGCGCCCCTACCCCGCGCCTTCCTCGCAGATTCCTTCCGCCTGGCCTCCTCTCTCTCCTCACTCTCCTCTTCCGAATCCCGCTCGTCCCGCGCGCGACCTTTCTTCCTATCAACCCTCCTCCTCCTCTTCCTCCTCCTCCTCATCCGACTCATACCTCCCCTTGTACCTATCCTCTTCCTCAATCCTCCCTCTGCTGCGCCTGCCCTCGTATCTCTCGTCCTCATCCTTTTCCCTGTCCCGCCCACGCTCCCTCGCTCGTTCTCTCTCCCTCTCCTTCTCACGCTCCCGAGCCCGCTCCCTCTCCCTCTCCTTCTCCTTCTCCCTCTCCCTCGCCCTCTCCCTCTCTCTTTCTCTCTCGCGCTCCCTCTCCCTTGCCCTCTGTAACTCCCTCTCCTTCTCCCTCTGCCTATCCCTCTCAATCTTCCTCTCCCTCTCGCGCTCTCTCTCCCTCTCCCTCTCCTTCTCCTCTGCCTCCCAATCCCTAGTGCGGCTGTACTTATAAGAATGATTATGCCCGCGCTCCCGCCATCCGTACCCCCGATCGCGGCTCCTGCTTCGATGCCGTCGATCCCGATCGCGCGATCGTGACCGTCCGCGGTATCGCGGGGAGCGCGAGCGGGAGCGGGACCGCCCGCGGTGGCGATCGCGGCGGGAGGGGGAGCGCGACCGCGAGCGCGACCGCGACGAAGAGCGCGACCTGTCGGACCCGCTCCCGTCCTTCCCCTTCCCGTCCCCGTCCTTCCCGTCCTTGTCCTTCCCGTCGTCCTTCCCCGCGCCGCCCGCCGCAATCGCGCGGCTGATCTCTTTGGCGCGCTTGGCGGCAAGCTCCGCCTTGGTCTTGGCTTCCGAGCTGCGCACCTGCTGCGCCAGCGCCTGCTGCATCGCGAGCGCCTGTTGGAACTGCATGAACGGCATTGCGACGGCCTGCTGCATCGCCATCTGCGACGTCGCAGCGGCCGTCGCAGGCGCGGCGGGAGCGGGGGCGGCGGGCGCGGGGGTGGGCGCGGGGGCGGGGGCGGGCGGAGCGAGAGCGGAGAGGACGGCCTGTCGAGTGGCTTTCGCGGTTTTCGCGAGCTCGACTTTGAGTTGCTTGTCGCCGACCGCCATGTTGTTCAGCGCGAGCGCCGCTTTCGCCTCGTCGGCTTTCGCGAAGCGCACGTGTGCGACGGTTTTCTTGTCGTTGAGGAACTCGCAGCGGGTAACCGTGCCGCAGAAGGCGAAGAGCTGGCGAAGCTGCTCGGGCGTGAGAATGGAGCTTACGTTGGTGACGTGCATCGTTCGCTCCAGTTCGTCGTCGTCCATCGCCGCTGCCCGTCGCACACACAAGTCGCACAGACAGTCACACACACAGTCGCACACACAGTCGCACAGACAATCGCACGGACAGTCGGACAGTCGCACACACAGTCACACACACAGTCGCACACAGTCGCACATACAGTCGCACACAAAGTCGCACACACAGTCGCACATACAGTCGCACACAGTCACAGATACAGGTTGAGCGAAAGAATGGCGACGATAAAGGGACACGTGGTGTGGTGTGCTTAAATCAGCGCAGAACGGAGCGAGTGGGGAAGGGGGAGAAACGGGGCGGGGGGGAGTGGGAATGCAATACGAGCGACAGGCAACCAGGGTGGGTACATCGCCAAGTGCATCGCACGCGACAGAGAAGGCAACAAGCGACGGGATCAGGAGCACTGCGATTTTCTACAAGCGAAAAAGCAACAAAAGGAAGGTGCCATGGGGAGCAGTAGGCGGGATGGGGTAACAGGAGGTGGGGTAAGGGAGGTGGGCACACGTACAATAGTAGTCCTCAACGTATTCGCTCTTCTGCTGCAGCAGCTTCTGCTGTTGAATCGCCGCAGCCGCCGCCGCCGCTTGCGCCTGTGCCTGGGCCTGCGCCTGCGCCTGCACTTGCGCGTGCGCTTGAGCTTGCGCTTGCGCCTGAGCCTGCGCCTGTGCTTGCGCCTGCGCCTGCGCCTGCATCGCCTGCACCGCCATGATGCTCTGCGCCGCCGCCATCGCCGCCGCGGATGGCGCAAGTGGCATGTTCGTCAAACCTCCTGCAGCGCTCAGCACGCAAGGCAGAAAAACGTTAAAAAACATATATTTAGTACAATCCTCCAACAAACGGGGTGATCTTATAAGAATCGACCCGCATAGCAGGATACACGCGCGCCAGTTCTAATTTCGCCCCAGATCTAGCATCAGAACAAGCGAAAATCCTCCATCTCAATCTTACCCGTTCCGGGAAGCACGCCGCCCGCCATGCCGGGGTACGGGCTGGTGAAGGGCATTCCGCCCATGGTCGGAAGCAGCCCGCGGAACTGCAGCGCCGCCGCCATCAGCGGATTCGGCATGCCCGGAGTCGGCATCGGCGGCGTCGGAAGTTGCGGAGTCGGAAGCGCCGGCGTCGGCATCAGCGGCGGCGCCGCGTTGACCGCCACCGGAAGAGGCGTTGACGCCGGTTGACCGGCTGTAGCGGCGCTGAAGAAAACCGGGAACGGGCTGCCCATGATGGGACTGCCGTTGACTTCCGCGTTGACCGTGTAATCTCCTCGGTGCTGTACGGTGTAAGTCGCCGTGTACGACCCGTCGCCGTGGTCCTTAATCGCTGCGATCTGCTCCTGGCCAGGCACGCCCGCCTTAGGCGTCACCTTCACCGTCACCTTCGCGCCGCCCGCTAAGATCCGCCGCCCGTCCTCGTCTTTAAGGACTATAACGAACGACACCGGCGCGCCCGCCGATCCGCCCCCGACGCCGGATCCCGCGGCGGAGCACTTGGCGGGGCAGACGGGCCCGATGGGTTTCTTCGCAAGTCGAGTCGCTTCGTCCTCCTCCTCTTCGTCGCTGCTGTCGGTGTCGTCGCCTCCGCCTGCTGCGCCGGCCTTGGAGGCGGCGATGGCTGCTGCTCGGGCCGCTTCTGCTTTAGCCTTCTCCTCCTGCTCCTTCATCCATGCCGGCTTAGTGAGTGCGATTCCGCGACCGGCCATGCCCTCAAGGCCTGCGCGCATGGAACGGAAGGCAAGCAACTCACTGGCTGCTGAAGAAACGAAATCTGGCAACTAGCCGAAGAGACGAAGTAATAAATCTTTCTCCTGGGCTGAGGTATTTGAAGGGGAAAACTGGGGTGGACGGATAAGCCCTGGGATGAGAGGGGGAAGAGAGGAGAGGGATGATGGGTATGGCGAAGCACGACAGCGATGATGTTACACCTGCTTGTCGCACGTTCCTGAAATGGCTGCCCCTGGCCGCGTGGCGAACGGAGGAAAAATCGCTAATCTCCGCACGTTCGGGAAAGTGACCAATGACGGTCGCCGTGACATGAACTGGATTATTCCAGAACCTTGACAATTACCTAGTATTGTTCTCAGCAGGCATAAATCTAAGCACCAAGGTCATATACTCTATCTAGCGGGTATATTGGCGTCAACCGACCAATATAAAACACCCCGACGTTTGCAAATCAATCAAGCCTCATGCTGTTCAACTGACATCCGTGGCTCA